GTCACTTGCCCTGGCCCCTGCACTATCTGTCCAGTCCTAGCACATCTGTTCTTTGACCTTTTTCTTTCTTTTTTGGGTCACACCCAGTGATGCTCAGGGGTTACTCCTGGCTCTGCACTCAGGAATGACTCTTAGCAGTGCTTGGGAGAACCACATGGGACGCTGGGGATCGAACCCTGGTCAGCCACATGCAAGGCAAAGGCCTTACCTGCTGTACCATTGCTTTGGCCCCTACCACCTCTGCTTTTTTTTTTTTAAATTTATTTATTTATTTATTGAATCACCATGGGAAAGGTTACAAAGCTTTCAGGTTTAGGTCTCAGTCATGCAAATATCAAACACATTTCCCTTTACCAAAACTTATTTTTTACCATGAAGAACCCCAATAAAACCCCACCCCCCACCCCTCCCAGTCCCTGTGGGGCAGATGAATTCTAGTTAACACTCTATCTGCTTTGATTAGATTCATTGTTTCAATAAAAGATTCACCACTATTATTTAAAGTTTACCCCCCCCAAATCAGACATGCTGAAAAAGCATTGTGAAGTGATTTGCTTTCTACAGCTGGGTTCAAGAATTACATGTTGGTTTTGGATTTCTGCTATTTTACTTATTGACCCTGGAAGTATTTCTACTGAAAGTCAGATAGTTAAGAAATTGGTTTCTGTGCTCTGGAGTCGTGGCCGTGCTGGAGAGCCGCTAGTGGGGGGCAACTGGTGGCCTCGGTAGGGCGTGAAGGGCCGACCGAAACGCCCCCCTTCCCATGCCACCTCTGCTTTTAAAGGGCACATCTTGATTATGTTTTTTGTACTTTTTTTAGATTGTTGCCCCTTTTCCTTTTCCTTGGCTTGAGGGGCGGGGTGTGAGTGGGCAAACCCAGATGCTCAGGACTTACTCCTGGTGGTTCTCAGAGGACCATATGGGATCCCGGGGATTGAACCAGGTTCAGCTGCGTTGAAGACAATAGCCCTACCCGCTGTCCTATCGCTCTGACAGCACCTTTTTTTTTTTTTTTGCTCTTTGGGTCACAACCGGCGATGCTCAGGCATTACTCCTGGCTCTGCACTCGGGAATTACACCTGGCGGTGCTTGGGGGACCATATGGGATGCTGGGGATTGAACCGGGGTCGGCCGTGTGCAAGGCAAATGCCCTACCTGCTATACTATTGCTCTGGCCCCCTGACAGTACCTTTCTCTAATCTTACACAGGAGCCTGATTAGTCCCCTTGGAAAGAGAAGTGTCACTTCCTGTCCTCTCCTGACTCCCTGGGGGACACTGAAGGTGTCATGAGCTCCAGAGAAAGCCCCCTGCCCGCCAAGAGATGCCATCGGCCTTTCCTGCCTGACTTCTCGACCCCTCAATCTCACCCGGTCTCGGGGCTTTGGCCTGCTGCCTACTCTGACGCCAGCTGAGAGTGCCCAGGGGGCACTCAGACAGGCCTTGCCAGCTTCCTCCTATGACCAGGACAGGACGGGGTCCTTGATGGGGCTCACCAAGCCCAAGCCCGACGTGTAGCCAGGACCCAGTGGGCACGGTGGGTGTAGAGAGGGTGGCAGACAGTGGTTGGGGAGAGTTGGGGTTAGTGGCCCGTCCAGTTTGGCACCCCAGAAATATGAATTCCTCATTCCCCCTCACCCCCCAGGGCACCTGGCCAGCTCAGACACCGACAGCAGAGGGCCCTTGGGGGTCACATAGCCCCTGCGTGTGTCCCAACGGCTGAGATCTCAAATTCACCCTGCCCAGGCCCCATGGACAGAGAAGGCAGTTGTGGGCTTCAGGAGCTGTCGTGGACATTCAACCAGAATTTAGTCCTTAGTCCTTTTTTTTAAAATTTGGTTTTGGGCCACATCCTATAATATCCAGGGGCTCCTCCCAGCGCTCAGGGGTCATTCCCGACAGTGAGTGGGGGACCGCAAGGGGCCGAGGATCCTATCTAGGCCTCTTGCTGAAAAAACCGTGCCATCTTTCAGGTTCCTTTCCTTGCTTCTGCCCCTTTCCTTCATTCTTCAAAAAAAAAATTGGAGTCACCCGGAAGTGCTCAGGGGCCATTGCTGGCTCAGTTCTCAAACCCTAAACACAGCTGGGTATGCAACCCCCTAACCTAAGACACCAGAAAAAAAAAAAAGGGACAAATAAGAATGTGAAAAACCCAAGAGCTTGAGGCCTGAGGGGGTGCACAGGGTCATGGGGGGGGTCTTCACGGATGCTGGGGAGGAGGGGAGAGAGAGGTGCTCCTCATCTGTGCTCTTCTCCCCAAGACACACGGTAGGACACGGACCTCAGCCCAGTGGCTGTCTACCTGGCCAGCCCTTGATAAACCCAAGCCTGCCCTGTTCTGCGAGGGGCTGAAAATGGTGAGATTTTGTAGATCCAAGTTGCAGGAATGACCACGACGAACAAACTGACACAGAACATAACATGTTTGTCACCTCCCCTCATCAGTGTAGATTTCTTTGGGAACGGGGACAGGCAGTGGGCCACACCTGGCAGTGCTCGGGGCGCACTCCTGGCTCTGTGCTCAAAGATGACCCTGGTGGTGGGAATCTAACCACATGCACGGCACATGGCCTCGTGACGGCACCATCCATGCAGGTTTCTGCCTGCTGGTGCCACTCAGCTGTCACTGCCGCCAGTGCCACCATCCTCACAAAACGGTCTGTCTGCCTGCAACTGGCCCCATCCAGCCCTCAGGATCCTCTCGAACAGCCGCTCCCGCCCCTCCCCAGCCCTGCATGGGGCAGGTCCCAGGCCCCCTGCCTCCCACCTTTCCCGATCTCCAGCCTCACGGCCATCCTTGTCACTGTATCTCACTTGGGACAGCTTCCCGCAACAGCTCTCTCTCCCAGTCCCATTCCTGCTAAAAGGCACACGTGTCCCCCTGGAAGGCTGCATTTCTCCTACCGTTTCCCCTGCACCCAGAAAGTCCATCTCCCCTTTATTCCCTCAGGCTTGGGTGTAAGCCGGGAGAGCTCACGTGGTGCTGGCTCAGAAGCTAACCCTGGGGCCTTTCTCACAGTCTCCCTCCAGATACCTGAGCCCATCCTCATCCTCACTCCTGGGGATCCGAGGGAGCAGGGGGCGGGACATACACAGGCTGCACCCACAGCACCACAGCTTCTGGGTGAGCTCTGCCCGTTCCAGCCACCCCCCCAGCCCCCCAAGCCTCACGCTCTGTACACAGCCCCTCTGGGCTTCTCCCACAGGGGCTGGAGATTCCAATTTTGGAGGCCTGGGGAGGGCCAGTGGATGGACACAAGATCGGACCGTGATGACAAAGCCCCAGGGAGCCGCACTTCCGGGCCCTCTGTGCCGTATCATGGGATGTGAGCACTTCTGCAGGGCAGGAAAGGCCGTCGTGCAGTGTGGCAGTCCCAAGGGCCCACCCATTAGGACCTGGGCCCGTAAGATGTGCTGCCCCATTTCACAGAATTCCCCCAGACTCCCCGGATGGAGGGAGGGGAGGTTCACCCAGCCCCAAGGGAGGCAGAAGGGGCGACTTTCTTGTAGATTGTGGTGGGGTGGGGGGATGGGCGGAAGTTCAGGTTCTGCAGTGGGTCACCCCGGAACATGCCCCGTTCCTGGGAAGGAGAGGCCACCTCTTGTACAATTTCTGTCCGTTTGTGGCCTGGGGGTGGGGGCATGGATCCCCCAAGTCTACCCATGTGAAACAGAGACCTAGTCCCGCAGGAGGTTGAGGAGGCCAGAAGGAGGGAGAGAAGGGACTACACGGTGATCGGAAGTCAGGGACACCAGAAATGCCCGGGTACGTGGTGGTCCACAGGCTCCCTCCACAGTTTCACTCCTCACAGTCGCCCGGCAGAGAAGCCTCATGTCAGGCCACAGCCCGGGGGACTCAGAGCACACGGGAAAGGCCAGGCTCTGGGCTGCAGAGCTGCAGTCCCTGGTCTGTCTGACCCCAAAGTCCTTGCTGGTGCCACTGCCTCGTCCCATGTCCTTGTCCCCAGGCCCCATCTGTGGCAGAAACGGGAGAAGGTGCAGGACGCAGCCTCTCTGCTCCGAGACAATACCTGGCATTGTGCTTCTGTCTCAGGCTGCCGGGGGGGCCTGGGTCCAGCCTGGGTGACTCGGGGACGTCATGGGGCACAGGAAGGACGGGGGGGATGGGACCGGGATGGGCACCAGGGCCCCAGGGAGGCTGGAGGTGGAGGTTGGCCTCTCCCCCAGGGCTCACGTGTGGCCATCTGGGAAGTGGCACCCCAGAAGGCACCCCACCTTCACAGCCCCTCCCAAGGACAGGCCTCTGACCCCAGAGTGAGGAGTGGGGGTGACACACACCTCTGTCCTTCGTCCCTCAGAGTCTCCCCCTCCCTGGCCAGTGCACACAGAGGTCAGCCCAGGCTGTTCCTTCCACTCAGAGGTGCAGAGCAGGCCCAGCTGCCCTGGAGGTTCTACCCCCAGCACCAGGTGGGCAGCAGTGGGTTTGCAGCATGCAAAAGGGGGACCAGAGTGAGGGTGAGAGGCCCAGAGACCCGCCCAGGCCTTGGGGCTGCTGGGGGAGCTCGGGAGTTGCAGGGAACCCTCACTCTGCTGTCCCCATGGAGCCTAGGCCTGGAGAGGGACCCATCACAACACCCTCAAAGCTCTGGGGGGGGTCCCAGTCAGACCTTGGTTACCCCGAACACCAACAGAGCAGCAGGGCTGGGCTGACACCTGTTCACAGCGCCCCCCGCGGCTCCCGCCCTTGGGGGGGGCGGTTCTGAGCTTGGGGGGTGGGTTAGAAGCTGCTTTATAGAAGGGCGGGGAGCGCCCGCTCTGGGGATGATCGGTGTCCCAAAGGCTGGCTCCTCTGTGGGCACGGAGAGGCCAAGGGGGTCCAGAGCCGTGGGCTCAGCCCGATGCACTCCAGGCCACTGACCTCCCCGCCCCCGCCTCCCCTGAGCCTGCAGCCCACCCCACCCCCACCCCGGCCGGCTCCCGTCCCCTCCCGCACCCCCCAGCCCTCTTCCCCCCTCCCCCCCGACGCAGGGCAGGACCTCACCGTCTGCGGGGGGCTGCCCACGGTCATCTCCACGTAGTAGCCCTGGCCGGACTTGCCCCGCAGGTTGTCCACCATCTCCACGAAGCTGCCCCTCCGCGCGGGCTCCTCTTGCTCCCCGTCCGTCTCGCGGGGCAGCCGCAGTCCCAGGGGGGCGCCCCCCGCTCCGCTCCGCAGGGGCAGCCGGATTCCGGGCCGCGCGCCGCGCACGGGCAGCACCCCGGCGCCCACCCAGAGCAGCAGCCAGGGCAGGGCGAGGGCCATGGCTGGGCGCGGGCGCGGGCCCCGGCCCCGGGTGCGGGCGGCGGCGGCAGCGGCAGCAGCGGCGGCGGCGGCGGCGGCGGCGGCGGCGACGGGGCGCGCAGGCCCCGGGCGGGTCCGCGGCGCGCGGCGGGGACGCGGCTACTCGTGCCCGGCCGGCCCGGCCCGGGCCGCGGGCGGCGGGAGGCGGGCGCGGGCCCCCGCGGCGCGGGGAGGGGCGCGCATGGCCGGCGGCGGGGCCCGGGCCCGGGGATCCAGCGCCCGGCTCGCGGGCGGGCGGGCAGGCTGGGGCGGCGCCAAGGCGGCTGCCGGCGGCGGCTGTCAAAGCCGAAGGGGTGCGCGCTGCCCGGGACCGCTGGGAAGTGTAGTCTTCCCACGCGGCCACCCCGCTTCCGGCCTGGGCAGGGGGCGCGCTGCCCCCTGCCGAGCCCCGGCCGCCCTGCAGCCCCGGCTGGGGAGCCCGCAGGGGACCCCGCGGTCTTTCGTGTGACCCCCGAAGGGATGGGTAGGATCGGGGCCGGAGGGTCAGGCGCTCGCCTGGCACGCAGCAGACCCGGGTTTCCATCCCCATCCCTGGCACGGCGGGCGTATGGTCGCCTGAGCAAGGCCAAGAGGGATGCCTGAGCACTGAGCCAGGTGTAAGCTCTGAGCACTTCCAGGTGTGATACACACGCACACACGCGCGCGCGCGCGCACGCACACACACAAGGCAAAGAGGGGTCCCTGCGCACAGAGCCAGGAGTAAGCTCTGAGCACTTCCAAGTGTGATATACCACATAAACACACAAGGCAAAGAGGGGTCCCTGCGCACAAAGCCAGGAGTAAGCTCTGGGCACTTCCAGGTGTGATACACCACACACACACACACACACACACACACACACATACACACACACAAGTCAAAGAGGGATCCCTGAGCATAGAGGCAGGAGTAAGCTCTGAGTACTTCCAGGTGTGACACACCACGCGCGCGCGCGCACACGGCAAAGAGGGGTCCCTTTGCAGAGTCAGGAGTAAGCTCTGAGCACTTCCAGGTATGATACACCACACACACACACACACACACACACACACACAAGACAAAGAGGGGTCCCTGAGCACAGAGGCAGGAGTAAGCTCTGAGCACTTCCAGCTGTGATACACCACACACACACATACACACACTGCAAAGAGGTGCCCCTGAGCTCATAGCCTGGAGTAAGCTCTGAGCACTTCCAGGTATGATACGCACACACACACACAGACACACACACACAGACACACACACACACACAGAATGGGTAAGGTTTCCACGAGCAGAGATGGTGGAGAACAAGATAAAGGGCCTTGAAGCTTATTCACGGTGCTCTGCGGCTGCAGAAGGGAAAGGTCAGGGGCCTTTTCTATTCTGGCTGGGGTCGGCAGTCTGGAGGCCGGGCCGGGTGGGATGGCTTTGCTCTCTACATCTTCCTCTGTCTTGTTTGTTTGCTTGCTTGCTTTTTGGGTGGGGGTCACACCAGGCGATATTCAAGGCTGACTCCTGCTTCTGCACTCAGGAATCACTCCTGGCGGTGCTCAGGCGTGGGAAGCTGCAGATGAAACTGGGTCGGCTGCGTGCAAGGCCAAAGCCCTCCCCTCTGGACTATCTTGAGTCTTTGATGTTCTTCCCTTGGAAGATGCCCCAAATCCTGAAACACTCTGGATTCCCGTGCCATCACTCACACCCAGGATAGATGGCAGTTGTCAGCTGAGGTGTTATCAGTCCAAGAAGAATCTGTGTCTTCTCGGGTAGGAACACAAAACAAAAAGCTTTAGAGCACAGTCAGTCACGGAGAACAGCCAAATGATTGTGATGTATCACTGGGCTCTTTATCAAACATGGAAGGCAGTTGACAAAATTCAGTTGTCATTATGCTAAAAATGGGAAACTTTAAAGGAGACCACAGAAAGTCTTAGAAAACGCAACAGGAAATGGCTGGAAGTGCTTCTGTGAAAGCCAGGTAGGGGAAAGAGAAAGAACCGTCAGCACCCTTCTTACCCCACAGTCCAGGACAGTTGTGTTGCTCGCTCAGTAAAACAAGAAAAGGAGCATCGGGGAAGCAAAGCATCACTGTATGATGTGGCTAGGAATCCTAACCAATAAGCTGGTTGCACACAAATTAAAATTAAAAAATAGTGATGATAGGTACGTCAGGCAGGGTGCTTGCCTTGCATGCAGTCAACCTGGGTTTGATCCCTGGCAGTCCAGATGGCCCCCCAAGCCCACCAGTAGTGATCCCTGAGTGCAGAGCCAGGAATAAACACTGATGGGTATGTCCCCCTCACCCCCAAAAACGTAATCAAGGAAAATTTACACTGGTGGTGGTTTGGTGCTGGAACATTGTAGACCTGAAACTCTGTTATGAACATCGTGGTGTCTTAATAAAAAATTAAAATTAAAATAGGGGGACAGAGAGATAATATAGAGGGAAGGTGCTTGCCATGCGTGTGGGCAACCCAGATTCAATCCCCAACACCCCAATAGGGTCTCCTGAACCGTTCCAGGAGTACTTCCTGGGCAAAGAGCTATGAGTAAGCCCTGAAATTGCTGGATATGGCTCAAAAACAGTAACAAAAAATTAAAATAGGATGGGGGAGATCTAGAGTGCATGCCTAATATACAGGTTGTCCAGATTCAATTCCCAGAACTTCAGAATACCCCAGAGGACCATCCGCATTGACCTAGTACTGTCCTCCCATTGTTCATCGATTTGCTCGAGTGGGCACCAGTAACATCTCCATTGTGAGATTTGTTGTTGCTGTTTTTGGCATATCGAATATGTCACGGGGAGCTTGCCAGGCTCTGCTGTGCGGGTGGGATACTCTCAGTAGCTTGCCGGGCTCTCTGAGAGGGAAGAAGAAATCAAACCCGGGTCCATCGCATGCAAAGCAAACACTCTACCCCCGTGTTATCGCTCCGGCCCGTACCCCACCAAAGAAATAAAAATTCAGATCTCTTTCTCTCTTATTTATATAATTAAAAGTAAGTAAAGGCCCTCCCGTTGATCATCAATTTGCTCGAGCGGGCCCAGTAACGTCTCCATTGGAGACTTTGTTGTTACTGTGTCTGGCATATCGAATACTCTCGGTAGCTTGCCGGGCTCTCCAAGAGGGGCGGAGGAATCGAACTCGGGTCAGCCATGTTGGCTGCGTGCAAGGCAGACGCCCTACCCTCTGTGCTATCGCTCCAGTTTTATATAATCTATCTCTCTATATTTATCTGTCTATTTATCTATCTATCCATCTCCTATGTGCCGTACTCTGTACTTTCTCTATCTCTAAGAAGATACATTTAAAGAATGGATAGGCATGGGGTCAGAGAGATTGTACAGTGTATAGGGCATTTGTATTGCACACAACCTGGATTCAATCCTGGCACCCCATATGGTCCCTTGAGCCACCAGAAATAATCCTTGAACACAGAGACAGGAGTAAGCCCTGAACTCTGCTGAATGTGACCCAAAAAAACAAAACAAAAAAAGGATAATCTTTTTTTTTTTTTCGCTTTTTAGGTCACACCTGGCAATGCACAGGGGTTACTCCTGGCTCTGCACTCAGAAATTACCCCGGGCGGTGCTCAGGGGACCATATGGGATGCTGAGAATCGAACCCAGGTCGGCCGAGTGCAAGGCAAATGTCCCACCCACTGTGCTATTGCTCCAACCCCCCAGAAGGATATTCTTGAGGCCAGGAGAGAAAGCTCAAAGGATTAAGCACATACATGCTTTGCATGTGGGATTCCGTCCTGGGCACTGCATGACCTCCCACACCCCTCAAATGTGACACAGCTAAGTTTGGGCCAAAAACCCATCTCAAAACAACAACAACAACAACAAAACCCAGGACTGGAGCATAGCACAGCGGGTAGGGCGTTTGCCTTGCAAGCGGCTGACCCGGGTTCGATTCCTAGCATCCCATACGGTCCCCCGAGCACTGCCAGGAGTGATTCCTGAGTGCAGAGCCAGGAGTAACCCCTGTGCATCGCCAGATGTGACGCAAAAAACAAACAAACAAACAAACAAAAAATCCCCCAAACCCAAATAGGGACCGGAACATATTATAGCAGGTAGGGCACTTGCTTTGTGTGTACCCAACCTGGGTTCGATCCCTGGCATCCCATATGGTCCCGCAAGCACTGCCAGGAGTAACTCCTGAGTGCAGAGCCAGGAGTAATCCCTGAGCATCTCTGGGTGTGGTCCAGAAACCAAAACCAAAACCAGAAGAATAATTTGAAAATCTTGTTTATAATTCAAAATGCTGTGTCTGAGTGTCATGTATTTTTGTTTTGTTGCTGTTTCCTTCCCTTTGCTGCTTGTCGTGGTGATGACAGGACGGGTGACCCACACGGGGGCTCAGGGTTCACACACTGGGTTGTGCTCACATGCACTTCCGTTCTGCTGCTTCCCAGGGTCTCGTACCTGGTTGTCGTGTGTGCCAGGGATCACACAGGTTGTAGCGGTGCTGAGGATCCCCAAGAGCAGAGCCGGGGGATCATAGGCAGCATGTGGGGGCAGCCGGGTATAAAGCTTGGAGCCTCGCGGCTGCAAGGCAGAGACCCTACCACTGAACTATCCCTGGGGTCCTGGAGTACTTAGTACTTAAATTTACAAGACTTCTGTCGAATCAGACTCCCAGGAATCCATTTCTGGCTCTCCCACCTAGTGGGAGGGAGAATGCAAGTACCAACAGCACTTAGTCGTTCTGTGCCTTAATTTTGTCATTTGGGGAATGGGGCTCAGCAAGCCAGAGCTCAGGTTTTGCATGTGAGAGTCTTGGATTCAACCTCCAGTACCAAATCATCCCTCTTAGAAGTGGCCACAAAAAAACCGGGACTGGAGCAATAGCACAGAGGGTAGGGTGTTTGCCTTGCACGCAGCCGACCCGGGTTCAATTCCCAGCATCCCATATGGTCCCACAAGCACGGCCAGGAGTAATTCCTGAGTGCATGAGTCAGGAGTAACCCCTGTGCATCGCCGGGTGTGACCCCAAAACAAAACAAAACAAGAAGTGGCCCCTAGGGGCCAGAGAGATAGGATAGTGGATAGAGTGTTTGCCTTGTCTGCATCTGACCCAGGTCCAGTCCCTGGCATCCCATATGGTTCCCCAGCACTGCCAGGGGTAATTCCTGAGTGCAGAACCAGGAATAACCCCTAAGCATCTTCGGGTATGACCAAAAAAGCAAAAAAAGAAAAAAAACTGGCCCCTAGCTTTACTGGATGTCGCCCAAAAATTTAGGAAGAAAATTCTATATAAAGAACTTCTACAAGTCAGTTTCTAAGTGAAAATATTTATAGATACCACTGTCATCACATTTTATGTCTTTTACATCAGTAATATTTGGTGTCGGTGAAGGTGGTGCTTGGACAACAAATTATTCCATTTTTATTATTTTTATTTATTTTGTTTTTAGGGTCACATCCAGCAATGCTCAGAGGTTACTCCTGACTCTGCACTTAGGAATTGCTCCTGGCAGTGCATGGGGGACCATCTGGGATGCTGGGAATCCAACCCCGGTCAGCTGTGTGCAAGACAAGCATCCCACCAGCTGTACTACTGTCTGGCCCCTCTAGTTTTATTTTTAGAGAGAAATTTGGCAATGTGTATTGAAATTCAAAAAGTAAATTCTTTAAGCTTACAAGGAGTGTTTTGTTTCCTATCCCACAACAGAAACAGTATATGGCATTGTGTACAGTATCAAAGTTTTGGAAACAAAATACATGGTCATCAACAGGGGAAGGAGACTTTCATTCAACAGATTCATATGGAACCATCTCTTTCTTTGTCTGTTTATATGTCTTTGGGCCACACCCAGCTGTGCTCAGTGGTTACTCCTGGCTCTGCACTCAGGAATTACTCCTGGCTGGGATCTGGGGACCATATGGGATGTGGGGAGCCAACCCAAGTCAGCTGCGTGCAAGACAAATGTCCTGTCCACTGTACTATCCCTCCGGACCCAGCAAAGCTAATGCTTTTTGAAATTAGAAGCAATTCTTTTGCCAATAGGTGTGTGGGGCTGGAGTGATACCACAACTGGTAGGGTGTTTGCCTTTCATGCAGCCAACCCTGGTTCGATTCCCAGCATCCCATATGGTCCCCTGAGCACTACCAGGAGTAATTCTTGAGTGCATGAGCCAGGAGTAATCCCTGTGTATCGCTGGGTGTGACCCAAAAAGCAAAAACAAAGCAAACAAACAAACCCAATAGGGGGGCTGGAGCGATAGCACAGCAGGTAGGGTGTTTTCCTTGTACACAGCCAACATGGCCGACACAGGTTCAATTCCCAGCATCCCATATGGACCCAGAGCACTGCCAGGAGCAATTCCTGAGTGCATAAGCCAGGAGTAACCCCTGAGCATCGCTGGGTGTGACCCAAAAAGCAAAAAAAACCCCCAAAAAACCAAAAAACCAAAAAAACCAAACCCAATAGGTATGTGAAGGGAATACTCATTGTGTCACTGTTTTTCCTCTTTTACATTTTTTGGGGGTCTTTCAAGTGGTGCTCAGGAGGTTCAGGGGCCCCACTGGCAATTCTGGACTAACCTGGATGGCAGTTCAATGCAAAGGCACAGGGATGTAATGATGCTCAGGACCTTTGATGACAGGTCATCCCTGGCAGTACTGGGGGCCTTTGGGGCCAGCAACATCTGGTCCCAATCAGAGGACCATGTGGTGCTGGAAATCTGAGTCATACACCCTAATTACTGTGCTATCTTCTGATCTCAGCTGTTTTTCTTCCTAAGCAGACTCTATTAAAATTATTTATTTATTTAGTCACATCCAGCAATGTGATGGGGTTACTCCTTGCTCTGCATTCAGAAATCACTTTTGGCATTTTTCGGGGGAAAAATAGGGGATACCTGGTATCAAACTCAGGTCAGCTGCGTGGAAGTCAAGTACCCTATCCTCTGTAATATCTCTCTGGCCCAGCTCTGAACTATTTATAATAGATATTGTCCTAGAAACATAAGCCCCACGTTTATGAAAAGCTGGATTGCAGAAGCTGGATCCTTTAACTAACTCCTGATAAAGTGTCTAGTTGAAGCAAGAAGAGCACAAAAGTATCAGCTTTTAAGTTTTTTTCAGGTTCTCCATTATCTTACATTTACATTTCTTTTATTAATGGTGTGATGGGTGGATGATGAAGATCAATCTATATTACTTGATATTAATCATACTACTAAAATCATGAGCAACTAATCTTCTTAAGTTAGCTCACATCACTATAAAGGATTGTGAATGATCCTTTCCTGCTGGGATAAGAAATTCTCATCTCGGGGCTGGAGCAATAGCACAGCGGGTAGGGCATTTGCCTTGCACGCGGCCGACCGAGGTTTGATTCCCAGCATCCCATATGGTCCCCTGAGCACCGCCAGGAGTAACTCCTGAGTGCAGAGCCAGGAGTAACCCCTGTGCATCGCCGGGTGTGACCCAAAAAGAAAAAAAAAATTCTCATCTCGGGACTGGATCGATAGTACAGTGTGTTAAGGAATTTGGCGGTGGCTGGAGCGATAGCACAGCAGGTAGGACGTTTGCCTTGCATGCTGCCGACCCGGGTTCGATTTCCAGCATCCCATATGGTTCCCCGAGCACCGCCAGGAGTAATTCCTGAGTGCATGAACCAGGAGTAACCCCTGTGCATCTGTGCATCGCCGGGTGTAAGCCAAAAGCAAAAAAAAAAAAAAAGGAGTTTGGCTTGCATGTCGGCGTCGCGAGTTCGATCCCCAATATACCATATGGTCCTCTGTGCACCGCCAGGAGTAATTCTTGAGTGCAGAGCCAGGAGTAACCCCTAAGCATTGGCGGGTGTGGCCACAAAACAAACAAACAAACCCAAACCCAAAGCCCCTCGTTTCTCAATCCAGAGCTCTCTGACATTTACTCTAACCCTCTTCGGTACAATTTTGGACTACAACTCCCATCATGCAACGGGAAACGAGCCGCCCGCTTCTGCAAGCCGACGGGCCTTCTAACCAATCCAATGCTAGCGCTCTCATCCGGCGGCCTATTGGCTTCTGGTAGAGGCGGGACTTTCAGTTGCTAGGTTGGTACCCTTTCCGGAAGTGGTTGCTGGCCGCTGCAGGGCAACACCCCGGCGTCCCTGGAAGCGGGGAGCCGGGGTGGTGCTGGGGAAGCTGCGCAGAGCCCGGAGCCAGCGCCCTGAGCCTCCGCGGGTGGGGGACAGGTGAGGAGCCCCCCGAGGGAGGGGAGGCGGTGGACGGCGGCCGCGGGAGGGTCGGGCATGCTCGTGTGCCCGCGGGCGGGTGGGCGGGAAAGCGGCGCAGAAGTGGGGCGAGGAGCTGGACTCGGGCTGCGTGGGTCCCGGAGTGCCCGTCCCGGCCCCGGGTGCAGGCGTGGCGCTGGCCGAGGAGCTGGCCGGGCGCTTGGCCGGCCGGATCGGGCCGGGCCGGGCCGGCCTGCGAGCTCCCCGGGTGCATCAGGGCGCGGGCACGGTGCCCCGGTGCCCCTCGGCGTCGGGGAGCGCTTCGGGTTTGTGGTTAACGTGCCTTGGGTGGGGGGAGAAACTTGGAGACCACTTTCCCCCCCGCGGTCTTTCTCGCGGTCCTCGAACTCAGCGTCCTTCGGCCTTTTTAAACTCCTGCCCTGCTCCCGGCTCCGCTCCCCAGGCAGTTAGAACCCGGGCGGTCGATCTGTGGGTGCCAACCCGCGTCTGCACCGCCTGCGAAGCGGCCGGCCGTGAGTACCAGCTCCGGGGCGCAGCACTCGGCCCTTCGGCCTCTCCCCATCACTCCCTCCTCTGGGCCATTTCACCCCAGTTTAGCTCGCGGCTGCGTCGCGGTGCCTCGCCAGAGCTGGCCAGCGGCACCTCTCCCGAGAGCGCGGTCCTGCGCATCCAAACTGCCCGCCCAGCTCCACGCTTCCGTCCCCTTCCCTCTGCCGCTTCCTGTCCCGGCGGACTCCGTTCACTGGGGGGCCTCTGGAATTCTTGCATCTAGAACACGCAGCAGGGGCACCTGCTTCTTTCAGGCAGTCTGTGATCAGGCAGGACGAGTGTGTGAGGGGGCGAACAGGTAACCCTGATGGCTCTCCTCCCTCCCCCTCCCTTGCTGCGGAGAGCAAATCCTTTACTTCATTTATGGGGGAGCAGGGACTGGGCAAAGCTCCCAGCAGTCCTTGGGAGCTTCTCCTAGTGGCGCTGGGGTCAGAGCAATAGTATAGCAGGTAGGACTCTTGCCTTGCACGCAGCAAACCGGGGTTCAATCCCTGGCACCCCATTTGGTCCCCTGAGCATCACTGGGAGTGCTCCCCGAGCGCAGAGCCAGGAGTAAGCGCTGAGCACTGGCAGGTGTGCCCCACCCCCCAAACAAACTACCAAACAAGCTTAGGCTCCAGCATAAGAAATCTGTGCTCCATCATTCAGACTGAGCCATATCCACAGTGCCCAAAGAGCGCAACCTTCATCTTGCCTCGGATCCCGCGAGAATCTGGCCTTTGCTCTCTGCTCTCACAGCTGCCAACTGAGTTCCTCATTCCCCCGCCCCTTTCATTCTGGACAGCTCCCTCTGTACTTCCTCAGCCTCGCTCTTTCTTTCTTTTCTTTTTTTTTTCTTTTTGGGTCACACCCAGCGATGCTCAGGGGTTCCTTCTGGCTCTGCACTCAGGAATCACTCCTGGTGGTGCTCGAGGGACCATATGGGATGCTGGGGATCGAACCCAGGTCGACCGCGTGCAAGGCAAACGCCCTACCCGCTGTGCTATCGCTCCAGCCCCTCAGCCTTGCTCTTGCCCTTCTGCCTTACACAGCTGCCACAACCGAAGGACCCCTGTAGCCCCCCAGCCTCTGTGTGGAATCTGTCACAGCCTGAGCCGGCTCGGGACAGCCCCCTGGAATGTGCCGCTAGCCTTCTGTGCCCATCTCTCCCTGGCCACCCCTCTCCATCGCCCCTCACTTGTGGGGCAGGGCGGGGGCAAGTCCCCAGGCTCTGGGTTGAGACATGTGAGCCTGGTTGGCCCTGAGACCTCGGCAGGTGTTTTGATTTTGCCCTGCCCAGAAGAGCTTGACTTTGATCCTTTGGAAGGTGGAGCCCATCGTCGGCCCAGAGGCTGATCCGAGTCAAATGTAGCTCTGCTGCCGGGGTGCCAGACAGACGGATGGACATGCTCAGTGAATCAGCGTGAGGCCATTCCGAGTCTCTGTACCTCCCTGTTTTTGTTTGTTTGGGGGTCCCACGTGGTGGTGCTCAGGATTCACTCCTGGCTCAGGGGCAGGGGGACCGTGTGCTGCTGGGAATGCAGCTAGGATGCAAAGCCTGCCCTCTGGCCCCCTCTCATCTGTCTCTGCCTCTGTTCACACTGTTCTTCGTGGCTCATGTGCCCTGCCTCCCTTTTGCTGTGCAGCACGGTTAATCAGAGAGAGCTGCTTCCCTCATCTGATGGGGGAGGGACCATTGCTCTTCCTTCTGCTTCCATCCACTGTCTCTTCTGAAATTTTTCTGGTTTGTTTTGAGCCAACATCAGGCGGCACAGAAGGGTTTTTTTTTTGTTTGTTTTTTGGGGGGTGCACTTTTGCGGTACCAGGACTCGAACCTGTGTCGGCCACAAGCAAGGGCAACACCTTAACCCCTGTACTATCTCTCTTCGTCGTCCCCCTGACCCTCTCCCTAATGTGCTCAATGCATTAGATGAATCAGATGTTTCCAGGGGAGCTTCCCAGCAAGGCTGAGGTCGGGGCCAGGTGTAACCAGGCGTGTGGCTCTGTTTCTTACCCCAGCACCTGATCTTTAGCAGGTGAAGAAAGAGTGGTTGTTGATGCCTGGGGGGCTCCCCCAGGAACAGTGTAGGCTGAAGCTCTTCAAAGATGGGGATAATCTTGACTGCCACAGGGACCATGGGTGCAGCTCTTGCTCCATCAACATTTTGCTTCGTGTATTTCACATGCATTGGATTACTAAATCTCCACGGGTCTTTTTTTTTCTTTTAGATTTATTATTTTTTTAATTAAAAAAATTTTTATTAGTGAGACATCATGAGGTACAGTTGTAGACTTACAAATTTTTGTGCTTGGGTTTCAATTATACAATGATCAAACACCCATCCCTCCACCAGTGCCCATTTCCCACCACCACGGATCCCAGTAACCCTCCCACCCCTCATCCCCACATTCCACCCTGCCTCTGTGGCAGGGCATTCCCCTTTGTTCTCTCTCTCCTTTTGGGTGCTGTGGTTTGCAAAAGAGGCATTGAGTGGCAATCATGTTTGGTCTATAGTCTACTTTCAGCTTGCTTCTCCATCCTGGGAGGATCCTCCCAACACCCTTTATTTGGTGCTCCCTTCTCTCTCTGAGCTCCCTTTCACCCTAGCATGCCCCACAGGTCTTTGGGACAGGCGTCACCCCCATTTCTGGAGGAGGGAGCATATGCAGCTGGCCCAGCTGGCAAAGTACAGAGTTGGGGTTCCAAATGGAGAATGTCCCAGCCCCGTAATCCCCTACTCTGCCGCTTCACCAACTTTTTTTTTTTTTTTTGCTTTTTGGGTCACACCTGGTGATGTTCAGGGGTTACTCCTGGCTCTGCACTCAGAAACCACTCCTGACGGTGCTTGGGGATGCCAGGAGTCAAACCTGGTTGGCTACGTGGAAGTCAAATGCCCTCCCCGTTGGCCCGTTTCCCCCCCAGCTCCTGGTCCTGGTTGCTGATGGATGTTGTGATCACTGAGGTGGGGCAGGTGGATGGACTATTCAGGGGGGCCTGCAAAACGTGGGGGCTCTGTGGCTCCTGGCACAGTTCTAGCCCCCATCTGCCCAGGGACTGGCACGTAGACACATCCTGAGTGGAAGGGACCCTGGAGTTCCTAGCTTGGTGCGGAGGAGCTTTGGGGCTCTCGGAGGTTTGGAGGGAGGAACTGGACACCCACCAGGTAGGATGTTTCCTCAAAGCCGAGTGCCTGGGTCCAGAGTGCAGCATAGCAGGGAGGGCGCTTGCCTTGTATGTGGCTCCCCCAGGTTCAATCCCTGGCAGCCCATGTGGATCCTTGAGCACCGCGGGGTGTGGCCCCCAAACAGGCCGAAAGCCGAGTGCCTTTTCCTTGTCAGGTTGGCCCTGACGCCCTGACTAAGGAACCAGTGGCAACAGCAGTGTCGCTGCAGCTGCATTTGTGTCTCTCGTGGTTCTGAAGCCTCTGTGAGCCAAACACAGTGGCACCCCTCTGCCCCCCCTCCCAGCAGGCCTCTGCTGCTGCCCATCAGGTGCCCTAGCTCAGGGTGATGGTCTGTAGTGCCCGCGGGTGAGTGGGGGGCCCTTGGGATAGCCGGGTCTGAACCCAGCGGCCTGTGGCCTCAGCGCTGGTGCTTTGATCCTGTGTTGGCACTTGGCCACAGCAGAGAGAGTGCCCACAGGCAGTGCTGGAGAGGTCCCCTCCAGGGCTTGTATTGAGGACAGCCCATAGCCTCGGGCCTTCCACTCACGGAACTTCACACAGGCCTGCGGGGAGGAACACAGAGGGAGGAGGAGGAGTGGAGCTCCAGAGTTTGCCAGGAGAGGCGGGGCGGTCTGATGATACTGAGAACATTGAGAGGGCTCTGCCTGTGAACTCAAGCAGCCTGGCTTGGGAGCAGCTAACCAGGGAGGACTTCCTGGAGGAGGAGGATCCCAGGTTGTCCATTTTGCTAGATTCTGGGAGGGACATGAGGTGGCCCCTTCTGCACTTGGGCGGGTGGGGGGGGGTGGGCTCCTGGAGCTGTGGTCTCACTTGTGGACACACACCTGGTCAGCACATGGCTCCATGGACCGGCCATGGGACCACAACGTTAGACCAGTGGTTTTCCAGCCTGTCCACACCTGGGGACTGGCAGGGTCTGAAGATGGGGGGGGGGGGTTGTGATGTGGGGGCAGGTGGGGCTCATCAGGCATTGGCACTCGGGAGCCACATCTGGGTTGACCCGCGCCTCTCAGGCAGGGGGCCATGGAGGGACCCTGGGACTGACCTCAGGGCTGCCTCCCCTCCACCCCCTGCAACCCCTCTTCCTCCTCCTCGGCCCCCGCCCGGCCTCTGTAGCTCTCTGCTCCCAAGGGTCAGAGCGAGCTTTTCAGTGGAATCTGGAGGCTGGCTGCCACGTGGGGGTGGGCATACACACAGGGCAGGTCTCCCTCCCCTGGGAACCCCCAGAAGGATGGTCCCTGCGGTACTCTCCTTGCCACTGTCCTTGCTGCAGAGTCCAACGGTCAGCACGCCCCCAGGCTCCGTGCCCAGCCCCTGGGCTTTCATTTGTTTGGGGGCCCATCAGGCAGTGCTGGGGGGCTGTTCCCGGGACAGCCTGGGTAGTGGGGGGCGACCATGAGGTTCCAGGGCTTAACCTCAGAGTCCCGCTCACGAAGCTCAACTCTAGGGTCTGAGCCCACTCCTGACCCTGGGCCTGGCTGAGCACTGCCGGTGGGCGTCCAGCGCCCCAATACCGAGTCAGTGGTGGTGCACGGTGGGGGGGGGCACTGTCTGCGGGACCCGTTCCCCCGTCAGCATGATCGTGCCTTTGTCTCCCCCTCCTGGGGTGTCCCTTCTCCCTGAGGGTGAATTTGCCCCCAGATGTTCTTGCCCACCACCGAGCAGAGGGAGGCCTGAGTCCTGGCTCCTGGCCGCCCCCTGTGCTGTCTCTGGTATCTGGAACTCTCCCTCCCCAGGCTTTGCAGGGCCTGGTCGGACCCGATGCCACCGAGCTGGCCCTGACATTTCCTCCTGACCCGCTGGCTGGTTTCTCTCTCTGGGGTGCAGGCGCGCGAGCCCAGACCCATCATGGCCGGAAGACCTATCCGCATAGGAGACCAGCTGGTTCTGGAGGAAGACTATGATGAGACCTACATCCCCAGTGAGCAGGGTAAGAGCTGCCGGGGCCCCTGAGGGTGGGGTCCGTCCTCCCGAGCAAAGTACGGAGCTGCCCAGGCCACCTGGCACCTGTCGGGGGAGATGCAGCCTGGTCAGCCCTGGCCTAACCCAGCCCTCACCTGCTTCTGTGAATGGTGCCCCGTAGACTGGACCCTCAGCGCCTGCCCTCACCTGGGGGACCCTGTAACCCTCAGAGATCTCGGTACTGTTGTCCCGCAGAACCCCAATACTCTTACCCCTTGCAAGGATGTCTGTGGGTCTTGGGTTACATCAGTGATTCTTTTTTATTTTTTGGTGGGGCGGGGGCTGGGGGTGGTGGTGAGTGTGGGGCTTCACATCTGGTGGTGCTCAGGAATCAGACCAGGGTCAGCCAAAAGCATAAATAAGCTCCCTGACCTCTGTCCTATCTCTCTGGCCCTATTGATTAGTTGTTTCTTTTTGCTTTTTGGACTACACCTGGTTATGCACAGGGGTTATTACTCAGTTATTACTCCTGACGGTGCTCAGGGGACCATCTGGGATGCTGGGAATCAACCTGGGTCAACCTTGTGCAAGGCAAATGCTCTACCCGCTGTACTATCACTCCAGCCCCCATTGATTAGTTTTTAATGAAAATTTATTTTTTTAAAAGAAATTTATTTATTTTTTAAATACCCATCCCTCCACCAGTGTCCATTTCCCACCACCACGGATCCCAGTATCCCTCCCATCGCCCATCCCCCTCATTCCCCCCCTGCCTTTGTGGCAGGGAATTCCCCTCTATTCTCTCCTTTTGGGTGTTGTGGTTTGCAAAAGAGTTAAGCCTGATTTTCAGGGAGAAATGTTCGATGATTTACTTTCCATTGATCACTTTGTATATAAGGAAACGTCGTACGACCGCATAAGCCGCATAAGCGGCCACGCGGTTTGGAAAAAATGTCCTGGTACCCGCATGCCAGAGCTATGCTTGTAGAAGCTCATGGTCACCAGCGTTCCATCTGGAGAAGGCGGGACAGCAGCACCTACCCCATCTGGGACCTCCCAGTGATATCGGCTCTGTTTGGGACCTGGAGCATTCTCCGGGGGCTGTGGGGCCCTCCAGCCAGTTTTCTTCTTTGTTCTAGTTTTTTTTTTTTTAAATAATTTATTTCTTTATTGAATCACTGTGGGAAAAGTTACAGAGCTTTTGGGTTTAGGTCTCAGTCATGTAAGTATCAAACACATTTCCCTTTACCAATACTTATTTTTAACCGTGAACCCCAATAGAACCCCACCTGCCACCCCTCCCAATTCCTGTGTGGCAGATGAGTTCTAGTTAATACTCTATCTACTTTGACTAGATAACATTGTTTCGATAGAAGATGCACAATTATTGTTTAGAGTTTATGACCCCCCCCAATCATATATGCTGAAACAGCGTTGTGAAATGATTTGCTTTCTACAACTTGGTTTAAGAATAAAATGATGCCGCGCGGTTTTGGATTTCTGCTGTTTTACTTATTAACCCTGGAAGTATTTCTATTAAAAGTTAGATAGTTAAGAGATTGGTTTCTGTGCTCTGGAGTCGTGGCCGTGCCGGAGAGCCACTCGTGGGGGGCAGCTGGTGACCTCGGTCCGGCGTGAAGGACGGCCCAGAACGCCCCCCTTCCCATGAGGCCCCTGCCGCCCCCCGCCCCCGGCTCAAACCTGCTGTCCACAAGGCTCCCGTGCGGCCGCCATCTTTCTTTGCAGAGAGGAGTGGGCCTCTTCTTTGTTCTAGTTTTTAATGAAAATTTAGTGGGATAGATCAGGATAGATCATAAAAATAGTGCCTCAAGGCTCATGGAAGCTTATTTCCATGGGTTTTTTTTTGTTGTTGTTGTTGTGGGTCACACTAGGCAATGCTCAGGGGCTCCTGTCCTTGAGAAGGTGCCTTATCTCTCCCCATCTGTGTTGTCCCCGGGACCCAGTTATGTCCCAGGCACCCAGTTTGGCGGTGCCCTCCAGCCCTATTGGTCCCTCGGTCTTGCTTTCATCCTCCCTCGGGGGCCAGGGGCCTGTTCCCGGGGATCCCCTCATTTATCTGCCCTTCCTCTGCCAGGTGGGCTCATTCCGACTCCACGTCTCCCTGTTTCCTCCAGATTTCAGGCCAAGGCTCCCTTAGGGCCTCGGTTCTGAGAGGGTCCCCAAAGTGTTGGGCACTAACGGAGACCCCCGCAGGGAGCATGGGGGGAAGCGTGGGGAAGCAGGCCCACCCCCCCCCATCCAGCTCAGGGACCCCCCACCCATCTCTGCTCCCGTGGCACCCTGTGGCTCTCCGACCGTGCGTCACCGCCTGGCGGCCCGTCCCCTGCTGGTTAGGTCCCCGGGGCTTCATCAGCCTCAGTCTGTGTGTTTATCAGGTGTCACAGCCGAGCGTGTGTGTCCTGGGCAGGTGTTACCTGTGGGGCGCTTGGGCTCTGGGTGTTGGGCTTCCTGCTAAGGCCGGCGAGAGCCTGAGTGTTCCCGTTTCTTTTTGGTTTTGTCCCGCTTGGCGGCAGATGACGTTCTTGGATTTGATGACAGTGGGTGGGTGACGTTCAGGGGTGACATTTAGGGGGCTGGATTCATAGGACAGCGGGTAAGATGCTTGCTTTGCATGCAGCCAACCCGCGTTCAATTCCTGGCACCCCATAGGGTTCCGCAAGCCCTGTCAGGAGTGATTCCTGAGTGCAGAGCCAGGAGTAAGCCCTGAGCATCTCCAGGTGTGGTCTCAAAACAAAAAGAAACCAGGGGTGAAGGTACTTGTCTTGCAGGTGGCTGGTCCCATTTCTGTCCCTGGCATCCCATGGGGGTGGCATCGCTAGGAGGGGTCTCCTTGGGCCTCCTGGGCACCACTTGGGAGATCCTCCCTCTTGTCACACACAGACAGAAGCCAATTTAAGAGAACAGCTCACAGAGAAATAACACCAGTGCCATGAAGAAATTCGGGGAATAAGTCAAAGTACAACAAGGGAGTTTGGGCCGAATCTCCTCGCCCTCCACATGCGTGACTCAGGTGCGGGCTGGGGTATGTTTCCTGCCCGCCTGCTTCCCCAGAAAACATTCACTGATGAATTCGGCGCCATTCTGCCATCAGCAATTCTGATGTTAGCATCTGATCCCGCAGAACATGACTCCAGTTCATGTCTCCTGTGTCCGAGATGCACCCTGGCACCCCAGGGTTCCCGTAACACCTGCCTCGGGTCTGGTCAGGGAGGCCTGGGCCCATTTTCACAGACTGAAGCTGTGGCAGAGGGTGTGATGAAGGTGGCCAGTGTGGGAAGCGACACATGGGTGAGGGCCTAGGGGGATCCCAGGGCAGGAGCTGCTGTCCTCACCTGTAAGTTCACAAAGTAATCCTCCGGGGCTGCTGCTGCGATGTGCCTGTGTGTGTGGGTTCAGTGGCCCTGAGCCACTTCCCCACATCCCCAGGGCTCCCCAACAGAGACACAGAAAGACGGGGAGGCTGGGGGTCACAGCCTGATGGTGAAAATGGCCCGTCTAATGCAGAGTTGCTAGCAGACTTATAGAACATCTGAAGGGGGATTGAGGTAAGGCCAGGTGTGATCGGTCATTTACATAGATAAACATTTGGCAGTGGAAATTCTCTTGGGGAGATCAACGCAAGAAGACACTCTGTCTCCCAGGGACACCTACATTGCTTTTATCTTTCCCTCCAGTTGTTTATGTTATCAATACTTGCAGTTGTTTGGATAAACACAGTAAGAGAAAAACATCCCAACACTTAGTTCTCTGGGCTGAGAGCAAGCAAGGTTTTCACCATAAATCCCAGACTAAGTCCTCAGGCCAGTTCAGCTTGTCCTTCCCCATGGGGGTCCTGTCTCTTAGGTCGTAGCAGTTTGCATCAAGACCATGCGTTTATGCTTTCTAGGATGTCCCATTTCGATGCCGGCTAGCTTTGCCACTCGCCCCGGGTCCATCCTAGTCCCATGGCGGGACCTCCCTTTTGGGGTGTCAGAAACTGGAGCCCGAGTCAAGTAATTATGACCAAGTAATTATGCCCAGGAGCAGATATAATTCAGAGTCAATCAACTCCCAAAGGTCGGAGCATAGCATTAATGGTCTTTCTGTGTTTAACCAAAGAACATTGCTCTATAGTAAACTATAAAGAGGCTATTGGGGGAGAGAAAAGCAGGTACAAATATATAGCACTTCACATACAAAGCAGTACAAATACAAGTTCAGAATTACCAGAAAGTTTTGGCTTACAAGTAACCGGAATACTCTCGGTAGCTTGCCAGTCTTTCCGAGAGGGATAGAGGCTTTTGGGGTGACCTCTAACCACCCTTGTAGGTGTTACCATATTTGAACCCTATCAAATATGGTACGATATATCAAATATGGTACCTCCGGCTCCGGGCACATCTCTTTGATTCCACTGTTCTTCCTGCATTAACATATGCCTCAGAGACCTGGGCCCTACGCAAACAAGATGAGAACGCCATTCAGGTCTCCCAAAGAAGAATAGAAAGAGCTATGCTTGGAATATCACGTTTCACTCAAATGAGAGAACGAATCCGGAGTTCTGACATCCGTGGACGATCAAGGATCAGGGACGCTGTCTCATTTGCCAAGGTGTCGAAAATCAGATGGGCTGGTCATGTAATGAGATTTAAAGACGACCGTTGGACTAGAGCTGTTATTGATTGGATTCCACGGGATGTCAAGAGACCGCGTGGCCGCCCACCTACCAGATGGTCAGACTTCTTCGTCAAGATCATGAACGATCAGTTTGAGGCCCTTCATGTTCCTGGAGCGAACAGATGCCATTGGGCTACACTAGCACGCGACAGGGACAAATGGAGACGTTACTGGCACCCGCTCGAGCAAATCAACGACTAACGGGAAGTTAAGTGATTAAGTGATTAAGTGACAAGTAACCAGGACTGACTCGGGGAACTGTGACAATGAGAGGTAAAATACAAGGGATAAACTTTAACTAAGTTTAACTAAGTTTAACTAAGTTTAACTAAGTTAAAGTTAACTAAACTTTAACTAAGTTAGGGATAAAGATAAACTTTAACTAAGTTAGGGATGCTAGCAAGGGCATGTTAAACTTCTCTGGGAGGAAGAAGGGGGCAATTCTCGGATGTAGCCTAGGGTCAATATCCAACACAAAGGGAAGGTCGAATTAGGAATGTTAGCAAGGGCATGTTAAACTTCTCTAGGAGGGAGGAAGAGGCAATTCACTGGTGAAGCCTAAAACACAGGGTTGATATCCAACACCCACGCACTCGTGCTGGACCCAGTACCCTCTGCGCCCCTCAGCCCGGTGGTTTAGGAGTTTCCTGGAGGAGGCCTGTCCTGCAGGGGTGATGGGTTCTGACCCATGTCCTGCCCCCTCTCCTCTCTCTGGAGGATGAGGGGAAGCAGTCATGGCTTGGTCTCAGTGGCCACCAGCCCATGAGACCCTGCGGGGCCCACCCTGAGCCGCCTCATTGAGACAAAAAAGGGGCCTTAGGGATTGGACAGCGGGGAGTGCAGGGGGGCTTGTTTTGCAAGTGGCTGCCTAAGGTTCCATCCCTGGCACCCCACAGGGCCCCCTGAGACCCACCTAGTGTGATCCCGAGCACCATCAGGTGTGGCCCCCAACTGAAACACACCAAGACCTTCCAGTGAGACGCAGGGAGACCCCCAGGCTTCGTCAGCGTGGCGCAGGCCTTGGGGTCGGACTGAGCAGGAGCAGGGAGGGGGTCTCGGGGCCAGCCCCCGGCTCACTGTGCTGCTTCCCCCCTTCCCCACCCTCCCCGCAGAGATTCTGGAGTTTGCCCGAGAGATTGGCATCGATCCCATCAAGGAGCCAGAGCTGATGTGGCTGGCGCGGGAGGGCATCGTGGCCCCGCTGCCCGTGGAGTGGAAGCCGTGGTAAGGGCCTTGGCCATCTCTGCAGCCTGCCAGGCTGCTCTCTCTCTCTCTCTCTCTCTCTCTCTCTCTGTTTGGGGACCACATCCGGTGATGCTCAGGGGTTCCTCGTGGCTCTGTACTCAGGAATCACACTTGGCAGGTTCAGGGGACCCTATGGGATGCCAGGGATCGAACCTGAGTTGGCCATGTACAAGGCCAAAGCCCTTCCTGCTGTCTTATCCCTCCATCCTCTCTAGATGAATTTCAGATTCAACTTCTTGGGCTTCATTTTTTGGGCCACGCTCAGCGGTGCTTAGAGGTTACCCCTGGCTCTGCACTCAGGAATTACTTGTGTCTCAGGGAACCCCATGGGGATGTTGGGGATTGAACCCCAGTCAGCTGTGTGCAAGGCAAGTGCCCTATCTGCTGTATTATCTCTCACACCCTAGATTCAACTCTTGTTTTCCCTACAAATTTCCTGTTAGGAGTTTGATTGGAATTGCACTGTCCATATTTATGTAGGTTTTTTTTTTTTTTGGTTGTTGTTGTCTGTTGTTTTCTGTGTGCATGTAGGAGCAGGTCAGATCTGACAGTGCTCAGGGATTACACCTGGCTCTGCTCTCAGGAATTACTCCTGGCAGGCTCTGGGGACCATATGGGATTCCGGGGATGGAACCTGAGTTGACCAGGTACAGGGCAGATACCCTAGCCGCTGTACTATCACTCCATCCCCTCTAGATTAATTTTATTTTTTTTTTATTTTTATTTATTTTTTTTAATAGCTATTTAGTATTTATTTATTTTTCTTTTTTTATTAGTGAAAAACCATGAGGTACAGTTATAGGCTTACAAATTTTGTGCTTGGGTTTCAGTTATACAATGATCAAGTGCCCATCCCTCCACCAGTGCCCGTCATCCATCCCCATGGGTCCCAGCATCCCCCCCTCTAGATGAATTTTAGATTCAACTTTCTTTGTCTGTCTTTTGGGCTATGCTCAGTGATGCTTAGAGGTAACTCCTGGCTCAATACTTAGGAATTACTCCTGGCGGTACTCAGGGGACCAGATGGAATGTCGGGGATCGAACCTGGGTTGGCTGCCTGCAAGGCAAGTGCCCTCCCCAGTGTGCTATCACTGTGGCCCCAAAGCAGGTTTTGTTTCTTTTTAATGCCTCTAAGATTGGTCTTGTAGCTCTTAGATGCATGCCTTGCCCATCCTTTGTCAGATTTAATTAATTTTATTCTATAGACTTTTTGGGGGGGGGGCTTCCCAGGTGTACTTGTGGGGAGCCCACCTGGTGATTCCTGGCCAATGGCACCATTGGTTCAGTGCAAGGGCCTGAGGCATTGATTCCACTGGGCTCTGCTGTGCCCAAGGGTCCCCAGGCCACCCCGGCATGCTGGGACCTCCAGGGCTGCCCCTCGTGATGCTGGGGGACTAGGTGTTACCGGGAATCGAATCTGGGCTGGGCCTATGCCAGGTTTGAGCCCTCACCACTGTGCTGTTCCCATCTTAGTTCATAGTTTTGCTGCTTCTGTCACTGTTCTATTGAGAAATGCTGAATTTCTAGTTTATTCCATTTTGTTGAAATAAAATTGCTTTTTTTTTTGGGGGGGGGAGTGATTTGGGCCACACCTGATGGTCCTTTGGGCTCTGTGCTCAGGGATAACTCCTGGTGTGCTCAGGGGACTGCAGGGAATGCCGGGGATCGAACTCAGGCTGGCCACTTGCAAGGCCAGCGCCCAATCCACTGTACTCTCTCTCTGCCCCAAGATGTTTTGTTTTTGAATCTGCTTAGTGATACTGCTTTGATAGTCTTTATGCGAAACTGACTTTATATTCCTGGGGTAAATGCCTCTAGGTCTACAGTGAATCCATATTATTAAATTTGATTTTCTAGAATTTGGATTTAAATAATCCCCTCCACCACGTCATAGTTTGAAGGGGTAATGTAGACAGAATCTGGGTGTTTTCAGGCCTCCTCGGGCTCCTCCTTTTTCAGTGCTCAGGGGACCACCCGTTGCTGGTATTGAGCCCTGACTTCCCTTAGGCACGCCTGAGCCTGCCCCTTGCACCATCTCTCTTTGAAGGCTGCTTTGAAGACTCTGTATTGCTGCAGTCAGTATCGGGCTTGTGGCCAAGTGCTCCAGCCCTTCAAACCACCTCCCCCATCCCACGTTGTCTTTTTTTTTTTTTTTTAATTTTTGTGGGTGTGGTTCTGTCTTTTGGCTTCAAGGTGTTTCCTCAGTGATGGATAAGAAATTGAAATCACGAGGCAGGAGCGATAGTTCAGCAGGGAGGGCTTTTGCCTTGCACACAGCCGACCTGGGTTCGATCCCTCGATCCCCATGTCTCGTATGATCCTCCAGCACCGCCAGGAGTAGTTCCTGAGTGCAGAGCCAGGAGAAACCCTTATGCATCTCCGGGTGTGACCCCCCAAAAAAATTCAAAAGAAGATCACGTACTTTTTAAATAGCAATATTAAAATATTAGTAGTTAAAATATGACGGATTCAAAGCCCCCCATTCCACAGTGGCGTCCAGGCAGAAGTGTCCCAGCTGAGCAGTGCTGTTCTGCATTTGGGCAGAAGGGGGCGCCTTTAGGTTCTGTTCTCTGGATGGTTGTGGGTGATCCCTAAGCACAGAGCTAGGGATTAGCCCTGAGCACTGCCGGGTGTGGCCTAAAACAAAACAAAAAAAAACCCACAAGAAGCTGAGGTCTGGGTTTATTTTTATTCACCGTGTCGGCATTTGGGGGTGCTTCCTTACTCTGAGAACGCAGGTGTCTCTTTGAGTTTGGAAAGTCCCCTTATCACATCCCTTTCCTGGAAATCTTACTAGAAACTGGATCTTCTTCTTTCCACCCCTGGGGACTCTTGTCTTCTGTTTCACACTCAGAGGTCCCTTGACCTTGCTTGCTGCTCTGGCCTTGCCATACCCGGGATTTCCTCCGGGGGGCATTCAGTGATGTAAGGGGTGGGGAGGAGGGAGGAGGGTAGGGAGGGGAGGGAATGGGGGATGGGGGGGCAGTGGGGGGGGGGAGGCAGTACTGGGAGACACATGTGGTACCAGGAAGGGAACCCAAGCTCGATCCCCTTCTACTTTCTCTCTAGCTCCCCACAAAGATTTCAGACATCGTCATTTTCAGTTTTCTCTCCTTTTGATGAGGGGGTCGGGGGGCCCTACCAGCAGGCTGTGGAGCCCGTGCGCGGGGCAGGGATGGAACCAGGGTCAGCTGCCTGCAAGACCAGCACTTTGGAAGCTCTAGGTTTCCTTTTGATCCACTTCCTCCCAGTCTTTGTGCTGGTTCTCCTCCTCCCTGTGCCAGGAACTCCCTCTTGTCACTCTCCCCGGGAAAATGCCTTTAAGTTTCTCTGAATTCCTCCTTCCTGGGTGCCCCGGGGCTTCTCCCCAGGGGAGCGGCAATGGGTCTGGGCTACAAATCAGTTTCCTGTCTTGGCCTGTGTTTCAGGTGTTCACCTAGCACAGGTGACTTGTTCCCGGGACTGGCTAAGTTCTGAGGACCCCGAATGTTTCCCAGGTTTCTTGTTTCTGGTCTCTGGGGGCACGAGGGCTGGAGGCCACATTTCGTGTCTGTGGATGAGCATGAAAGGACTCTGGCAGTGAAATAGATTATCAGCTCTCTCGTCGGGATTAAAAGTGAGCAGGGGGCGCTGGAGAGATAGCACAGCGGGTAGGGCTTTTGCCTTGCACGCGGTTGACCCGGGATCGATTCCCAGCATTTCATATGATCCCCTGAGCACCACCAGGAGTAACTCCTGAGTGAAGAGCCAGGAATAACCCCTGCTCATCGCCGGGTGTGACCCAAAAAAGTAAAAAAAGAAAAGCGAGCAGGGTATATGGCAGAATAGCCAAACTTCAGGGGCAAGAGCAGTTGTACAGTGGGTAGGGTGTTTGCCTTGCATGTGGCCGACCTGGGTTCAATCCCTGGCATCCCATATGGTCCCCCAAACACTGCCAGGAGTAATTCCTGAGTGCATGAGCCAGAAGTAACCCCGGGGCACTGCCAGGTGTGACCCAAAGAGCAAAAAAAAAAAAAAAAAAAAAAAAGCAGGCCAGAGAGCTAGTACTGGGGTAAGTCACGTGTCTTGCATGCAACCAGTCCTGGTTTGAATCTTGGCACTGCATCTGGTCCCCCAAGCACCACCCCGTGTGACCCCTGAGGACAGAATGAGTAGACCCTGAGCACTGCGGGGCGGCCCTTCACTCCTCAAAAAGAAGCCCAGAGTCTTTGTGTCTTGGGCCATTCCTGGAGGCACTCAGGGCTTATTCCTGGCTCTGCGCTCAGGGTTGCTACTGGTGGGGCTTGGGGGACCATACAGGGTGCTGGGGGTGGAGCCCGGGTTGGCGGGCAAGCTCCCTGCCCTCTGGGTGAGCTCTGCAGCCCCCAAGCCCAGGTTCCCACAGCTCACCTCCATCTCCTGCTGCTCACCCTGCCGGCTTGGACGGTGCTCTCGCTCCAGGTTAGAGGTTTCTGCAAGACCAGAGCTTCCACCAGGCCCCTGTCTCCCTCAGCCCCCCGATCGGTGTTTACCCTTGCGTTCATGTCCAAGCTATAGCATCGTGTCACTGAACCCGTGAGTGGGACCGCACAATCTGTTCTCTGTGGTTAGCAGTGAGTCCCCTGGAAGCCCAGTGATCTCCATCTTCCTGGGAGGAATCTTTTTTTTTTGTTTGGGTCACACCCAGCGATGCTCAGGGGTTACTCCTGGCTCTGTACTCAGGAATTATTCCTGGCAGTGCTCGGGGACCATATGGGATGCTGGGAATCGAACTCGGGTCAGCCGCGTGCAAGGCAAACGCCCTACCTGCTGTGCTATCACTCCAACCCCCCCCCCCACCCCCCGGGAGGAGTCTTTAGGAATCTTTAGGAATCACCTGCACCTGCAACCTGAGAAACCTCTTGGGTCTTTATTTACTAATTTATTTGCTTTTTGGGTCACACCCGTCGATGCAGAGGGGTTACTCCTGGCTCTGCACTCAGGAATTACTCCTGGCAGTGCTCGGGGGACCCTGTGGGTTGCTGGGAATCGAACCCGGGTCGGCCACATGCAAGGCAAATGTCCTACCTGCTATGCTGTTGCTCCAGCCCCGCCTCCTCGGTCTTGCCCGAGAGTGCCCTCAGTCCTGTGTGGACCCTCCTCACGCCTCTCCCGTCTCTTCTCTGGCTTCTCTCTCCCGCCTCCCTTTTCGCCCCTTCCTCTTCCTCCTCCCCCCACCCGATTTTCTGTCGGGGTTGTGGACAGGGACTAATGCCTGCCCTCCGCTCCTCCCAGCCAGGACATCACAGGTGACATTTACTACTTCAACTTCTCCAACGGGCAGTCCATGTGGGACCACCCATGTGATGAGCACTACCGGAGCCTGGTGGTCCAGGAGCGGGGCAAGCTGTCGGCACCCACCGCCACCAAGAAGAAAGACAAGAAAAAGAAAAAGGACAAGAAGGACAAGAAGGACAAAGAGGCCGCCAAGAGTGCCCTGGTGAGCCCCTGGATCACGGGGTCCCCTCAGGGGCCGGGGCTGAGCCCAGGGTGGGTGGGGGACACCCGCCGTGAATATGAGGCCTAAAGTACTTCCTGTGTTCTGGCTCGTTCAAGTGTTCCTGCCGTGTCTAGAAGTCATTTGCATGTCCTGGCAGGTCCCCCTGACCCCCGGGAAGTGCGTGGTCACGTGGGGTGGGCGAGATCTGCTGACAGGTGTGGTGATGCTCCCCTGGGCTCTCTCATCCCGAGAGCGGGGGCCCGTGAGTGGTGGGTGGAGGCTGGGGGGCGTCTCTGTCCCCCTGGCCTGGCTTTTCACTGGTCCCAGGGGCCTGGGTGTCAGGGGTTCCTCCAGGCTCTGCGCTCAGGGATCTCTCCTGGGGGTGCTTAGGGGACAATATGGGATGCTGGGATTGAACCAGTTGGCTGCGTGCCAGGCAGACGCTCTACCCGCCCCTGTCCCACTCGCGTAATCCTCTTGTTTCTCCAGCACCACAGTCCCCTGGCTGGTGGCGAGGCGTGTCCCGCCTCACCCCGAATTGTGTGTGTGTGTGTGTGTGTGTGTGTGTGTGTGTATGTGTGTGTGTGCGCGCTCGCATGCGTGCTGGGGAAGGGAGAGGGGGAAAGGTCTGAGCCCGGGTGCAGCCTGTGCCCAGGTGGCTCCTTTCACGCGTGGCCCAGCCTCTGGGCTGGCTGGTGGTGATGGCAAGAATAGAGTTGGGGTGCCGGGGGACGTTGGGGGCTCCGGGATAACCCTGTCTGAGGCCACAGGACCCAGGCGTAGGGGCACAGTGTGGGAGGCCACCAGCTATCCCTTGGGCCTCAGTCTGTCCCGAGAGAACTGGTGGGTGACCAGGGTAGGGTGCTGTGTGTTCCGGGGGCCACGCTCTCGCAGGCTGGCCAGCGGGCGGCTGACCGTTTCCAGGATGCCGTGTCTGCACATGGTCGTGGGGTGTCCTTGGGAGGAGCCCACGGGCTTCTTGCCTGGCCTCTGGAAGGTCCAGGCTGCATCTGTGACAGGAACTTAGGGAGGCGGTGGCTGGGGTGGAGTGGGGCGGGGGGACACGCCCCTTTGCCCATCAGCAGGCCCGGCAGTGCCGAGGTGGACCTGAGGGCGGGGCCTCCCCTTGCCCGCCATGTGCACGAGCAGCCCCCCGTCCCTGGGTTCCATGAAGCAGGCTTGGTAAACTCTCACCAAGGCCCCCCAGTTGAATGAGGGGTCCTGGGCCCAGAGTCCAGCACGCACAGCCTGTGGGAGCTTGATGCTGGGTCGCCCCGTGTGGGTTTGTGTTTCTTTTTTTTGCTTTTTGGGTCACACCCAGTGATGCACAGGGGTTACTCCTGGTTCAGACACTCAGGTATTACTCCTGGCGGTGCTCTGGGGACCATATGGGATGCTGGGAATCGAACCCGGGCTGGCCACATACAAGGCAAACACCCTACCCGCTGTGCTATCACTCCAGCCCTAATGGATTTGTGTTTCATCTCTGTTTTGGTTACCCATGCCTGGTGATGCTTGGGGGAGTCCGTGAGCTGCACTGGTCATGGTTGGGGGGACGGTGATGGTTGGGGGGACCGTGAGCTGCCCTTTGAGGCCCTCCCCCCCACCTTGGTCCCCTCCCTGCTTCTCCTTGGCTGGGCGGGTGGGTCTCCGCAGAACAGGATAACCCAGAAGCGCTCCGTCTCGGTTCTCTCTGCCCGTTTATCCGCCCCTCTAGGAAGCACAGCCTGACTCGGGGCCGCTGACACTCGCCTCCCTCCGTGGCCCGTCCCCTCTCCCTGCCACTGACAGCGAGGGCGCCCCGCAGAAAGGGAAGCCCCCGCAGCCCCTCCTGGGCACCCTGCCCGGCAGGCTGCAGCCCCTCGCCAGGGGCCACCAGGGCTTGGCCGGCCTGGGGAGAGCCGTGGGCAGGGCAGAAGCTGGGGAGCAGCCGCAGAAGTTCGTAGAGCAGCTCCTCCTGGGGTTCTCGGACCCCGAGATGGAAGAGATGGAGCTGGGGGGCAGGTCGCGGAAACCCCAGGTGCCGGGTGCCGGGCCCGGCCGGCCCCTCCCGAACGGACAGGGGAGCGCCGAGACCTGGAGCCCGGCCTCCGTCCCCAGCAAACCGCCCGGCGCCTCTGGGAGCGGCCTCCCGCCGAAGGGGGAGCCACGTAGCTGGGGCCTGGCCCGGCTCAGCGCCACCGGCCCCGAGGGTGACAAGGGCCAGAGCCCCGTCTCGGTGCCGCTGCCCGAGGAGGCACCCTCCCGCTCGCCCTGCTCCTCCGACTGCTCGCTGCCCACCCGGGAGAAGAAGCTGCCAGGCGGCGCCCCCGAAGACCTGAGGTGGCAGGTCCTGTGTGGGGGCGCTGGGCCCTGGGGGAGGAGGAAGACGGAGCCCTCAGGCCTGTGGGCAGGACAGGTGTCCAGGCTAGTCAACAGGGACCTCCTAGAGGGCTGCACGCAGGCCGGACCCCTTCTGCGGGGGGGCCCCGGGGTCTCAGCCTTGCCCCCCGGAATTTCTCTAATGTCACCTGCCACCTTGGCCTTCGAACCAGCTCTCCTTGCCTCCTTTGGGGGTGCTCCAGGGTCAGCACCTAGCCAGAGGAGACCAGGGTCCCAGGGGCTCTCCAAAGGAGACGGGAGGCCTCGTCTGTTGGGGCCCTACTCGGACAATAGCAACAGCGGCAGCAACAGCCGGGCCTCTGGCCTGGGCGAGGTGAGCGGTGGACCCTGGACAGTGGTGCTGGCGTGGCCCCGGGCAGGGTCCCCTTCCAGCTGCGCCTGGCGCCCGGCCTGTCGCCCCCGCAGAGCTCGGCCGACGAGCAATCAGAGAGCGAGGACTATTCCGAGGACCAGAGGTTCTACCGGCAAATCCTGCAGATGGTCAAGATGTCCCGGCACCTGGAGGGCGCGCAGGAGCCGCCGTGCCGGGACCTGGCCAGCATGGTCAGCTGCCTGGCGGCCCAGTCGCCGCACACCTGGAGTGAGGGCGAGCGCGAGGCCCTGCTGGCCGTGGACGGGGATGTGCCTGGTCTTCCCTGGGGGCCGGAGCTGCCGCAGCCCGCCCGTGTCCAGCCGAGTCGCGGCATGCTTGGGCAGGGGCTGGCTGAGCCGGGTGCCGGCCGAGGGCTTGTCCTAGCACCAGGCGGGCAGCAGCCGTGCGACCAGGTAGGCCACTCCCCTGCATGGCGGCCACACTGCCCCGGTCTGCCCACTGTCTGCCCGCCCGCACACCAGAGGATGAAGTGGGTCGCTCTGTTCTGGTCTTTAGACATGAATTTACTCTGGGCCACCCCCACCCCCAGCTGGGATGCTTGAGTTAGATCGAGGCTCCTTTCGGGAAAGCACGGGGTGGCCCACGGGCTGTGAAGATGGGGTTGGGAGAGGCAGTGTCCAGGGAACTGTCCTGCAGTCATCGGGGGCCTCCGAGGTTCCTAACTGCGTCCCTCTGGGATCCGGCGAGGCAGAGGCCTGCTCTCTTTCTTCTTTTTTTTCCTTTTGCTTTTTTTTTTTTTTTTTTTGGTCACATCTGGCGATGCTCAGGGGTTACTCCTGGCTCTGCACTCAGGAATTACTCCTGGTGGTGCTTGAGGGACCATATCAGATGCCGGGGATCGAACCTGGGTTGACCGCGTGCAAGGCAAGCGCCCTACCCACTGTGCTATCACTCCAGCCCCAAGCCTGTTCTCTTTCACCCTGGGTCTGACTCTCTGCCAATCTCAGGCTGGTGTGGACTCCATGTGCCCCCCTGCTCCCCTGCAGGACCTGGCCCCCCACACTCCCCGTCACCTCGACCTTTCATCCTTTGGCAGACTCACACCTCGGCTCCACCTGGCAGCACGGGGCAGTGGGGACTTGGGGGCATCCTGGGGGTGCCTGCCCAGCTCAGTCTCCCCACAGCCGAGTCTTCCTCCCGTGGCCGTTGCCCACTGCTTCTCCACCAGCTCTGACTGCTGTGGTGGCCTGTGAATGCTGGTCAAGCTGTGGTTTCATCCCCAGCTTTTCTTTTCTTTTACTTTTGGGGTCCCACCCAGTGATGCTCAGGGGTTCCTCCTGGCTCTGACTCAGGAATTACTCCTGGGAGTGCTTGGGGGACCATATGGGATGCCGGGAATCAAACCCGGGTCGACCATGTGCAAGGCCAAGTGCCCTACCTGCTGTGCCATCTTTCTGGCCCTTGTCCCCAGCTTTTAATCGAACAGTGGCAGCAGGGTGGTCAGCCCCAGAGGATAGACATTACAGCGGCCCTAGTTAGCGAACGGCCAAGTGGGGAAGGCACAGTGGGACATGTGGGGGACCCCCGGAGACCTCTGCCTACCAAGCACAGATCATCCCCCCCAAAGTACATAGGCCGGGGAGCCTTGCTGGGTGTCACTGGTGTGGGGGCAGGCAGGAGGAGGTGGGGGTGTGCACCCCGTTTCCCAGAGCCTGTTCTGGCCACCTCTGCCCTTGCGGGGTGCCTGTCTGAGGGGCCGGTCCCTGCCGGCTGTGACCTTCGGGGCGCTGACCTCATGATCCCTGTTGGTTCCTGGGGGCTGGAGGTGGGGCTGAAATGAGGTGTCACATGTGAGGTGTCGCATGTGAGGTGTTTGCCGCGTGGGTGCCCACCAGCTTCTCTTGGCAGGACCAGGGGCACTCGGCTGAGTGTCCAGGGGGCCGAGCACCCACGCGCAGAAGCAACCCACAGTCTGGGCCCTGGGCTGTGGCCGGGGCCTGGGGGGCCCTTTGGAGGTCGTGAGAGATGCGAATTGGGCAGAGCCTGGTAAATCGTTCCCAGGGTGTTTGCCACTGGCCTGGGCAGTGTGGTGGGGCCCGATGGCCCCACGTGCTTCTGCCTGCTTTGCGCTCAGAGCTGCAGACCCAAGGCCACAAGTGCCCTGTTGGCCTCTTCCCCAGGGAGAGGCCCGGGCATTCTTCTGTGGCTTGTACATGCTTTTCCTTTTAACGCATCTACTGGAGGTCTCCCAAGAGGTGCCCGGGAGGCCCAGGACCCCCCAGCTGGGCAACTGCAGTGGGGCCCGAGGGTGCAGTCAGCCTGGGCCTGCGGTCCTGGGAGGTGGGTTCTCACCCACCCTGGCCATGCCAGGGGCCTTCAGGGCTACAGCCAGTGAAGAGTGTGTTATATATATATATATTTTTTTTTTTTTGAGGGGAGGCATCATATGGTTCTGGAGATCCAATGGGGGTCGGCCACATGCACGGCGGGCTCCTTACCTCCGTGCCATTTCTTTGGCCCCTCATCAATATATTTTTTTCATAACTGATGTTCATTGTGACTCGGGGGCCCTGCCTGGCAGTGCTGGGGGTGGGTAGGCAAAACCACTCCTGCTGTACTGTTTGGGGGGGGTCTCCTGGTGGTGCTCAGGGGGCGTGGGGTACCAGAGATGGGGCCTGGGGATCCCCCATGCAAAACTCTGCTCCAGCCTTTCTCGGCCCCCTGCCTGAGTCTGTCCCGGGCAGCATCTCACACCCGCGCTGTCAGGTTAGGTCGCGCCGCAGAGGCAGCAGTGAGGGGACCCGGTTCGTGCTCAGGCCCTTTTTTAGATCCCTCTGTTTGGGGCCTGACCCCAGAGCGGGCTTCTGGTAGCTGAGGGTTCCCTCCTGCTGGCGGAAGCGCAGCCCCCGGACAGCGGCAGGGGATGGGGGCAGAGAAGACCTCCCGCCCATCCTCTCTGGAGCGGAGGTGGGCTTCACTGGGGTGGGACTCAAAAGGTGTGTTTTTTGTCCCCATCTCCGACCCCCCCCCACTCAGCCCCCATGGGGCCTGGGGTGTGTAACATGATGTTTTCTGTCTCCAGGCCCCGGGAGCCCCCCTCGCCCCCACGCACGTCCCCCCGGGGGGCCTGGCCCCACTTCGAGGGCTGGTGGACGGCGCGCCTGCCGCGCTCGGACGGACACAGAGCCGGAGCCTGGGCAGCTCGGCCGAGTCGGGGCAGCTTGGAGACCTCCCGCTGGTGAGTCCTGCTCCCCGTGTCCCGTGCCCAGCTCTCATGGCTCTGCGGGCGAGGGGAGGGCACAGCCGGGCCCCCAAGCCCCTCGGTTAGTGGCGGGGCCCCTGCGGCCAGAGCTCTGAGCCATCAGACCCTGCCTAGGTCTGTGCGTGCGTGTCCCTGTCTCACAACTGGGCCGTGGCCGGGGTCTGCATGCACTGAGCCCACCCTGTCCTCTCTCCTGCAGCCGCCACAGACTCTCAAGACTCCAGCCGACCCCAAGGGGCTGCAGGGCTCCATCCATGAGGACAGGAACACCCTCGGCCTCCTGGGTCTGCGGGGGGAGGCCCCCCAGGAGGAAGCGGCGGACAGTGACCACCAGGTATGGGCCTCTGTGGGGAGCCCATGTGCCCTGCAGGTGGACCCTGAGCACCTCCCTTTGAGCCACGTTTTCTCCCTGTTTGGTATTGGCCCTTTGTGCATCGGGCCTTCCCTGGACCCTGCACTCACGCGTGCACGTTTGCAGAGTGTCTGCAGCTCCAGCGAGCTCTTGAAGGACCTGCACCTGGACGTTGGGGCGCTCACCGCGGCCTTTGCCTACGAGGTATGAGCCTTCTTCCCGCCCGCCTGCCCTGCCTCAGGATGGTGGGGACGTGTTTCTGCAGGGGGGTTGTTGGGTACTGGCGCTCCGGTTCCCGGGTCCTGCTCTGCGGTGGCGCTCACCCTGTGCTCTGCCAGGGCCACACTGTCTGGTGAGAGGGATGTGGGGCCAGGCATGGGGTGGAGGAGGGCGGGAGAGAGGGAGGGGGAGGGGGAGGGTGGGAGACGGAGGGGGGGAGACAGGGAGAGACAGGAAGTGGGAGAAAGGGAGAGGGATGGAGAAGGAGAGTGAGAAAGAGGAAGGGAAGGGGGAGGGGAGAGAAGAGCAGGGGGAGGGGGGAGAGGGAGAAGGAGGGAGGACTGAGCTGTCCGAGCCTGCCAGTCACTGGTGACTGGGGTGGGCCGTCATGTAGGAGAGCCAGGTGTGACAGGGCATAGCAAGGCCCTGGGAGCAGATCTGGGGGAGCGACTGTCTGGATTGACCAGAGTCTCCCAGAGTGGACAGGAATGACCCGGGGGGGGGCCGGTAGTAACCTCAGCTACAAGTTTGTTTACAGAAGGGAGATTTCCAGGGGTGCGCTGAGCGATTTTTTATTTATTTATTTTTTAAAGCAGGTGGTAGATTTTTTTTTCTTTTTGGGTCACACCTGGTGATGCTCAGGGGTTACTCCCGGCTCTGCAGTCAGGAATTACTCCTGGCGGTGCTTGGGGGACCATATGAGATGCTGGGAATCGAACCCGGGTTGGCCACGTGCAAGGCAAATGTCCTACCCGCTGTGCTATTGCTTAACCCCAGATTATTTTCTAAAACTTGGAGGTTTTGACTTGACTTAGAAGTTTAGGGACTGTGGGTGGAAGGGCTGTGGGTGGAAGGACTGTGGGGGTGGGGAGGGAGGACAAGGAGTGACGTGGACGTGTCTTTGGACACGGAGTCACCTGCACATGGTTCCAGATACAGTCACGTGGACATGGTTTTGGACATTGAGCGGTGAGGGCTAGATTGGCAGGCGGGCGTCCTGTGTGAGGCCCGAGTGCTGTTGGATGCAGAACGTGGCTGGAAGTGGCTTCCAGAATCTTTCCCCACCAGGCCTTGTTGCTTTTAGTACTGACTGAGACGGGGCTTGGTCCCAGGACCACACACCTGTGAGGCCAGAGCCAGCACAGAGCCTTCTCCTGGGCATGGTCTGTCCTTCCCGGCCCCCACCACATTCTCTCAAACAGCAGAAAGCAGCAGCCCCAGAACCACCGAACCCCAAACTGACCATGTAGGCACGAGACTAGAAACCCCAGATGTGCCTGGACCGGAATCTCCCCCTCTGCTGTGCTCACTGTCTGGTGCCTGATCTTTTTCTTTTTTTAAAAAAATATCTTATATGTTTTATTTATTTATTTTTTGCTTTTTGGGTCACACCCAGCGATGCTTTTTGGGTCACACCTGGCTCTGCACTCAGGAATTACCCCTGGCGCTGCTCAGGGGACCATATGGGATGCTGGGAATCGAACCTGGGTTGGCTGCGTGCAAGACAGACGCCCTACCCGCTGTGCTATCGCTCCAGCCCCTGGCGCCTGATTTTTCAATCTTCCCTCTCTCCCCACTTTGTGTTTGTTTGTTTTGCGGCCATAACCAGCTCAGGGTTTACCTCTCACAGTGCTCAGGGACCATTTGTGGTGCCAGGAATCAAACCCAGTTTGGCCACGTGTAAGGCAAGTGTTTGTCCTCTGTACAGTCTCTCTGGCCCCTGGTTTATTAATCTTTAGCAATTATCCTTTCTCTAAGAATTCCCGAGTACTCGTGCAAGCAATAAATCCTGAAGTCAACGTAGATTTTCTCAAGCCTTTAAATATTGATTGCAGACGTAATTAAACCTTTCACAAGCGTACTATATCAAGTTCTCTTAAATACTTTATGCACATTGAATGCGACAGATCCCTCACATTTTACCAGGATGTCACTTCACTCGGAAAAGGGCCTGTGGCATGGATTTTTGGGAAGGGGACCACCCTTAGTGGTGCTCAGGGCTCTCTTCTGGCTCTGTACCCAGGGATCTCTGGCAGGGCTCAAGGGACCATCTGGGGGACCAGGGATTGAAGCTAGGTCAGTCACGTGCAGGGCTTAGCTGTGGTACTATAGCTCCGGCCCCCGGGTTTAATCTCATGTCCTTATTTTCTTTTTTTGTTTTGGGGCCACTAACAGCAGTGCCCAGGGATCACTCCTGGCAGGGCTCAGGGAACCTTCTGGGTGCAAATCTAGGTGAAATGCCTGGTAAGGCAAGCGCCCTGCCTGCTGTACTATTGCTCCAGCCCCTCATGGCCTCACGTTTGCAAGGGAGACGATTCAGCCGCTAAGCCCTCCCCGGGACCCCCAGGTTCCCTCTTTAAAGTTCGGTTTTCCTCCCTTCGGAACTGTCCCAGTTTGGAGCTGTTCTGGTCGTGACCATCACTTCCTGCGTTTCCAATCGGTGTCCATCCTCTCTGTCCTGACTGTGGGCCTGGTGTGGGTCAGCTTTGAGACAGCTACTTCTGAGCGGGGTGCGGTCTCCTGGCCTGGCTGGGTGAAACAGAGGCACCCCAAGCCTATTTGGGTGCTGCTCTGTTTTCCAAGGAAAATTAATCCCTCAGCGTCACCCCCAGAAATTCCTTTTTTTTTTTTTAAACCACACCCAGAAGTGCTCAGTATTGGGACCAGCTTTATTCTCCCACCCCCTTTTGGGAGACTTCCAAGCTCGGCTCAGGGTGCTGAGAGCCCATTCCCGGTGACACTCTGCCAGCTGGGGCTGTAGTTTGGTGCTGGGGCCCGAGGATGCTGTCCTCCTCGGACCCGGCAGTGCCAGGGACCCCAGGGGCCACCCTGGCTGTTCTGGGGCCCCAGAGAACACTCAGCAGTGTTTGGACAGTCATGTGGTGTTGGGCATCCAACCGGGATCGCCTTGCCTGTGCCCCATTCCCTGTACTAGCTTCCCAGGCTCTGGGACCCACTTTTGTCCCCAAGGCGGGTATTGGGTGCTCTGGCTGGGCTGGGTTCACTCTGTCACTTTCCTGTGCAACCAGAAGGGGGCAGCAGACTGGCAGCTCTCCGCTCTCTCCGGGATGGGTGGGTACACACACACACACACACACACACACACACACACACACACACACACGTGTGCACACACATGCACACATGTATACACACATGCACACTCATACACACACATGCACACATATACACAGAACACCCAAGCTAGGAATGGTGGAACCTTCCGTCTGGGCTCTATCCACTGCCAGAGCCTGTGTCCTTTCCGTGTGACTGCGGTAGGCATTGGAGCGGGACCGTTTCTTCCTTGATGTGGGGTGTAGAGCCCCCTCGATGGCCGGCACAGGCGGGGGCTTTCCCCCCCAGCAATGTGGGGGTTCAGAGCCCGTCGCCAGGTGCTGGTGGTTTGCATGAGCCGCTGCGTTGGGGTGTCTGGTGCTGTGGGCACTGGGCAGGTGCTGTGGTCGGCCCCCCCAGCCCTTCCCCATGGGGCTGTGGCTTCCCCCCTGCAGGAGTCTCCGCCAACGAGCCAGCTCGAGAGGAGGGACCCGTCTCGGGGCTCCGAGGCCGCCGGCCCCCCTTCTGCTGGCAAGCTCTCTAGCCACGGGGCGGACAGCAGTCTGGGCAGCGGCAAAGGCAGCAGAGGTGGCCCGGGAAGAGAGGAGAGTGCCCACACCCCCGAGAAAGAGCGGTGTGAGAAGAATGAGCCCCACCCCCTCAGGAATCTGAAGAGTCCCCAGCCAGACCCCGGGGGCCCTCAGCCTGCCAAAGCCAGCACCAGAGAGATCCCAGAGGGCCCCCGGGATGTGGGGAAGGAAGGTTCCAGAAAGGAAGAGGAAGCAAAGGAGCCTTCCCGCCTGAGAGCGAGCTTGTCGGATGTAAGCGAGGTGAGGTGCTGCTCCCCACCCCTGCCTCACCCCTCATCTCCAGGCCTCCTGCAGGGGACTGTCCCCACATCCTCATCCTTGAAGCAGACGTAGTGTCATGCAGGCCTCCAGCCAGGTCCCTTCATGGGGACCCGTACGCCAGACCCCATGGCAGTAAGACACCGCCCGCAGTGAGGTGCCGCCTGCCCCCAGGCCGAGCAGGGGGGCTTTGTCAGAGGCCCGCTTGTTCTCTTGCACTTCCTTCCTCATGTGTGAGTGTGTGCATGTGTGTATATGTATGTGGGTGCATGTCTGTGATAGTGGGAGCTCATGTGTGTATGTGAGTGTCTGTGTGCTAGCCTGAGTGCACGTGTGGATGTGCGTTTGTGTGTGTGATGGTGTGAATGTGTGGATGCATGACAGTATGAGAGCATACGTGAGTGTGTGTCTTTGTGCCTAGGACAGCATGGGAATGTGTGTGAGTGTATGAGTTTTTGTGTGAGGGCACGTGTGTGCATGTGTGATAGAGTGATTGCTGTGTGTGAGTATGTGCTTGAGTGTATCTGTGTATGTGAGTGCGTGTGTGTGATAGTGTGATTGCATGTGTTATTTGCTTGGGTGTGTGAGTGTGTATGTGAGTGCATGTGTGAGTAAAGGCATGTGAATGAGTGATCATATGGATGTGAGCATGAGTAAGTGCTTGTGTGTGTATGAGCATGTATGCACATGGGTTTGTGCGAGCATGTGTGCACATAAGAGTGTGTATGACTGAGGAAAAGTGTGGGAGTGCATGTGGGAGTGCATGCATGAGCATGCGTGTGTATGTGTGCACATGAATGCATGTGTGTGAGTGCACATGATTGAATGAACATGAGTAAGTTTGTGTGAATGCATAGTATGTGCGTGAGTACCCTTGAGTAAATGTGCATGAGTGTGTAGGTGTATAGGTGAGTGAATGCATGAGTGTGTGTGTGTGTGTGTGTGTGTGCGTGTGCGAACGGGTGAGTGAATGTGTGTATGCGTACAGGTGAGTGAATGAATGTGTGTGTGTGTGTGTGTGTGCGCGCCCGCGGGTGAGTGTGTTGCTCCCCTGGGCGCTCCCTGTCCTCAGAGGACGCTGGCCAGTGTGAGTAGTCGGGGAGTGTGAGGGCCAAGGGCCAGGGGCTGCCTCCCTTGCTCAGCTCTCAGGGGACCCCCCCCCCCAAGGATGCCCGCAGTTCTCTGAGCCCACCCAGGACAGGACCTTGCTTTGGCAAGACTAGGCTGATGACATGATGAATGGAGGCGGGTGCCCGGAGGGGATCCCTTGTCTTCTGACTCAGCGTGGTTGGGGGTCTCCATGCCTCTCCCTTTTCCTGAAGAGGTGGAATCTGGCTGGGGTGCACCCTTGTACCGGACCCTGGCGGGGGTCCCTCTGATGGCCGTGTCTCTCCCCAGGACTTGGACCTCAGCGAGCACGTGGAGAGGCTCCGGCTGTCGGGCGACTCCTCCGACTCCAAGTCCTTCCTGGGCCTGGTGAGTGCGGGGTGGGGACAGGCGCGGGCATGTGCGTGCGTGTGTGTCCTCTCCTTGGTGGCCCGTGGAGTGGGGCTTGCTCCCACCGTGGTGTGCCTCACCCTGCTGGCTCGGCCTGCCCGTGGGGCCCTGGTGGAGCTCTGCTCCCTCTTTCATTGCCGAGGGAAGAGCGAGGCTGAGGGCGCCACCGAGCAGGCCACAGGTGACCCAGGTCAGCAAAGGCAATACATCGCGGGTAGGGGAGAGTGGGCAGGTCACACTGCAGGGTTATAGGCAGCCCCTGGCCAGACCCAGCCAGGTTCTAGCACTTTCCACCTGGGAGCCTGTCGCCGTCTCTGTCCCACGGGACAGTACATGTGGCAACAGGGTGTGTGTCCATCAGACCCTGACCGTGAGCCCCAACTCCTGCCCAAGGTGGGGGCACACACACCTTTGGAGAGCTCAGGCCAGGACAAGAGGGGCAGCGGGACAAGGGGCTGGCACAGCACCCTGCCAAGGAGCTGAACGAGGATCCCAGGCCAGTAGCCACCTCCCAGACCCCACCCCCAGACTCCACCCCCAGACCCCACCCCCAGAACCACCGCCACACTCACCCCAGCACCACTCTGTATGACCCCCAAACGGTGAACAGTGAGAACGTCGAGAACGTCACCGGCAGGGCTGGGCCTGGGGCTCACAGCAGAGCACTTGCCCTGCATGTGTGTGCTCGGGTGTCACCGCTGGCACTGCCACCAAAGGGAAAGAAAATGTCACTGTTAGAGAAGTGTCAAGTGGACATCTGCTCTTATGACTCACACCTGGGGGAAACCGAACCTGTGAGAGCACAAGGCCATTGCCAAGGGTGCTAGCGAGAACTGCGTGACTATAGGAGGTGTATGTGTGTGTGTGAGTGTACGTGTGTGTATGTACACGTCCGCTGTGAGTGCTGTGTAAGTGTGCATGTACAAGTGTGTGCGAGAGTATGTGAGTGCATGCATGTGGGTGAGTTTGTGCTTGAGTATTTGTGTGAGTAGTGTATGTGTGTGGTGTGGAAGTGCATGTGCATTGAGGGTGATTGTGAGTATGCATGTGAGTGTAGGGGTGTGTGTTGCATGGGTGCTGGTGAGCGTATGCGAGTGCATGACTGCATGTGCATGTGAGTGTGGGTAGGTATGCATGAGTGTGCAAGCGAACAGTCAATGTGGAGTGTGCATGGGTGTGTGCATGCGTGCGGGCGTGTATGAGTGCGTTGGTGTGAGTGTGCAGAAGTATGAGCAAGTGTGTGCATGAATGTGAGCAAGTGAGTGTTCAGAGTGCATGTGTGTTGGGAGTATGTGAGCGTGTGTGCGTGCGGGAGCGTGCATGTGTGGGAGTGCGCCTGTGTGTGTGCGTGTGTGCAGGAGTGTGCGTGTGTGCAAGGAATGTATGTGTGTGCGGGAGTGTGTGTGAGAGTGTCTGTGGGGGGGTAGCATGTGTGTGTGTGAGAGTGTGTGGGGGAATATGTGTGTGGGAATGTGTGTGCAGGAGTCTGCATGTGTGTAGGTGCGTGTGGGAGTATGTGCGTGTGTGTGGGAATGTGCGTACGTGGGTGTATGGGGAGTGTGTGTGTGTGTGTGTGTGTGTGTGCAGGAGTGTGTGCTTGTGTGGCTGTGTCGTCGCCCAGCTGTGAGAGACCATGGCTGGGCTGGGTGGTCCCTGAGTTTTGACTCACACCGAGGCTGTCAAGACCGTGCCCCCTGACCTGCTGGTTGGGTGACCACTCCCGGTGCCCCTCCAGGCTGTCCTTACCACCCTGCTCCGTCTGTTTGGGGAAGGGCGGAGTGGGACTGCGTCGGGGGTTGGGGGCTGCGTGCTCTCGCCCCTCGTTAGCTGTGGGCTGAGGAGGCAGATGGAAGCTGCACTAAGTGAAGAAGAACCCCGGGCAAGGGAGGGAGGCCAAGAGTCAGTGCCAGCAGGACCGTTGATGGCTGGGCCTCGGGACGTCAAGAAAGAAACGCACCGTTGGTGGTATCGTTCTGGGGAGTGTGGGGGGCCAGGTCCGGCTCAGCGACGCCATCGTGGGGGTGCCCGAGGGGGTGCCCGTCGGGGTCCTGGGGCAGCCAGAGGCCAGCACTTGCTGTGCCTGTAGGCACCTCCCTGCTGCCCACTGCAGGCGCCTCCCTGCTGCCCACTGGCCAAGGCTGGGGCCTGGACCCTAGCGCAGGGTGCCCCTGACCTCCCAGCCCGTTGCCACACCTGCCTGTCCCCGTGGGAGGGGCGCAGGGCCTCCCGCTCCCAGGTGTCGCTGCCTGTGCTGCTGTAGAGACGCTGGAGCTCTCTGGAAACCCACTTCTCCCTGCTCAGGCGGGACCCTGGGCAGTCTGGTCACGGTGCGGCTCCGTGCCCTTCCGGAAGTCTGGAGTCCAGGGGGAGTGGGAGAGATCCTTGTGGGCAGTGAGACCTTGACCCCACCTGCACCTGACCTTGACCCCAGTCTCTGGTGACCCCCTGACCTGGTGGCCCCCCTCCCCTGCCGTGTGACTGTGCCCCCATACCTGACCTGTCCACCCCATCTGCCTTGTCTCCAGGACTTGGGCTTCCGCAGCCGGATCTCAGAACACCTGCTGGACGTCAACGAGCTTTCCCCGGTGCTGAATGGAGGCGGCTGGGAGGTGGGTCTGGATGGTGGGGTCTGGGTACTGTGCCAGCCCCTCTGTGTGCGACAGAGGCGGCGACAGGCTCCATGGTAGAAAGGGCTAGAACCTGGCTGGGTCCAGCCAGGCGGTGCCTATACCCTGCAGGACGGCTGATCCACCCACTCACTCCTGCCCGCCGTGTCTTGCCTCTGCTGACCTGGGCCGCCTGTGGCCTGCTGTCCACATGGACAGTCCAGTCCTTATCGGGGTGTGGGGTCAGCTCCACTGCTGAGCTGGGGAGAGGAGAAGCCCCTCCTGAAGGGGTGGGGGGTGTCGCTTCCCTGAAAAGGCCCCAGGACTCTTCAGCCTGTGCTGGGGCCTCAGTGGCCCTGTTTGCTGTTCAGCCCCACGTGGCTTCAGCTGCCTGAGGGTCCCGTCTGCTGGGATGTCATCTTGGCACTGTGTCTGTCTTTGTCACCGGCCTGTGTGCGGGGAGGGGGAGGAGGTAGGGGAGGGGGGGAGGTAGGCAGTGCCTCCCAAGCAGTGCTCGGGGCCACTTCTGGTGGTGCTCGGCCTAACCCCACAGGCTTGGATGGCTCCGTCCTCAGGCCCTGAGGGGCTGGGGGCTCCCTAGGGCAGTTGTGTGGCTCTAGGGGTCAAACTGGGGCCTGAGCCGCAGGCCTTCCCCTCCTCCCGCCTCTGTCCTTTGCTCCTGGCCTGGAGGCTGCGGGTCCCGGGGACAAGGGCTCCATGAACGTCTGGGGGGGGGGGCGGGGCAGGAGCGGGGTTTCTGCCTGACTTCCCCCGGCCCCGGGCTCCTGGCTCCATGCAGTGACCATGTGAGACTGACCCTGGGACCTGGGGGCGTTACTGTCCTGCTGCTAACCCTGGCCCCGTGCAGCTCCTGAGCACCGCAGGAGCCTGGGAGCAGTAGGGGATTTGCGAGTCTCCAGTAAAGACACTCCCTGGGCCATCCTTTCCGGGCATTTCACCTCCAGGCCCAGAGGGTGGGAAGAGGAGACAAGGACAGCGGCCAGTCCGGCTGGGAGGAGTGGCAGAGCCAGCCAACCGGAGGCTCTGAGAGGTATGAGGGGGCGTGGCCGTGCTGGTGCTGTGGGCGGGGCCGTGCTGGTGCTGTGGGCGTGGCCGTGCTGGTGCTGTGGGCGGGGCCGTGCTGGTGCTGTGGGCGTGGCCGTGCCTGTGGCTAGGGGCGTGGCTCCTTGCCGTAGACTTGAGCTTGGACTTGGCTCATGGGTGGACGTGGCAGAGGGCCTGGCTCCGTGTGTGGCTGACGGGCTGGCTTGGCCGGGTCTGCGTGTCCTTCTGTCGCTGCACATGTGTGCATGCATCTGTACACACATGTGCTGACCGGGGCTTAGGTCCCGCGGGAGCGATTGCTGGGGCTCGGCATAGCCGTGTGTGTGTGCCTGGTCCTGGCCCCCGTGGCTGGACTCGCCTGAGGGAAGGGTGCTGCACCCCCGCCAGAGGCCCCGTCGTGTGAGGCGTGCTGTGTGCGCGTGTGGGGGCCTGGGGGGTTGCTCAAGTGCACGTGAGTGCCTGCATTTGCGCACGTGTGTAAGTGCACTGTGCACACACGTGTGTATGCATGTGTACATGTGTGCATGTGCATGAACATCATACCTGCGTGAGCGTGTGTGCTTAGGTACATGTATGTACACACATGTGTGTGTATGTGCGTGTGCGTGTGCCCGCCTCCCAGCTCCACTGTCTGAGCTGGGGAGAGGAGAAGCCCCCTTCGGAAGGGGCAGGGTCGTCGTCCTCCCTTGAAAAGCCTCCCAGAAGCCTGTGCTGCTTCTGCAGTCTGGCCCCAGTGTGCCTCAGTTTCTCCGTTTCCGGTTGCAGCCCTGCGTGGTCCTGAGTGTGCACCCCATGCCCTGCTCTCAGGTGCTGCCAGGCTTGGGTGCTGAGACCTGGCTGTGCCTGGCTGTGGCTTGGGGCAGGTGTCCAGTTCCCGAGGCTCTTTCCGACTCCCCCCCTCCCCCGCCCCCCCCACCCCCATCGCGGGGCTGACGGGCTGCTCTGGTCCTAGGTCAGAGTCTCGGCTGCTGAGTCCCCTCCGCCGCCCGGGCCCCAAGGAAGGGTCGCTGGAGCAGGAGGAGGCCGGGGGTCCCCAGGACGACGCAGGCAGCCCCCTCCTCCAGGCCTCCCTGCAGAGGTGCGGTGGGAGGGGGAGCTGGAGGCGGGGGTGGGGGTCTGCGTGCAGCCGCTGGCATGCTGGGGATACGGACAGGCTTGCGGCCTCAGCAGCAGCCACCACGGTTTCCACGCGCCCCCCACAGTCCCGCTGCTGGGGCCGGGGACCAAGGGACCCCGCCATGTTCCAGATCCGGGGGCCGTAGAACCTCAAGCATGGGGACACCCCTCTTCAGGCCTGCTCGCCCCGGCACCCCCTGGGGTGCAGATGTATGTGTGGGGGGGAGGCGGGGGGTCCCCCTTGGGTGCTTGTGGTTCCTCCCCCACCGGGTACTTGAGGGGAGCTGGGCCCACTGTAGGTGAAGCTCACAGCTGGGGGGTCAGTGGGGCCCCTACCTGGCCCCCGTCACACTCCGACCCCAGGGAGCCCCTCACCTTCCCACTGGCCTTACCACCACAGCTTCCTCCTTGTTCTGAAGGGAGGAAGAGACCCCCAGCCCACCGGGCACCCCGACACGGGGCCAGGAGCAGCAAGGGCAGGTGGAGAAGCCCGAGAGGGGGCCAGCCCGCCCCAGCCTCCCAGCGTCACTCGAGGCGTAAGCGCCAGTTGCCGTGTTCTGTCCCGGGGGGTAGGGCCCGTCCTGGGGGCTCCCTGAGTGCCCAGCAGCCTGGAGAGCCCCAGGAAGCGAGACCCTGAGGCCGGGCTCGGGGCCGGGACCCAGGGGAGTGAGGGGCCCCATCTTCCCCTTTCATCTTGTGTGGTCCTGGGGGAGGGCTCGGGGCCTCCTCTGAGGCGGAGGTTGTGCTGCTGAGTGTCAGCCCTGGGCCTGCTTTCTCTTTACGGCCACACCTGCATGTGCTCGGGCATCACTTCCGGTGGGGCTCTGGGCACCATATGGAGTGCTGGGAACCGAACCCGGGTTGGCCGTGTGCAAGGCAAGCGCCCTACCCGTTGTACTGTCTCTCTAGCCTCTGGATCCTCTTATAACATTTTTTTTTTCTTTTTGGGTCACACCCGGCAATGCTCAGGGGTTACTCCTGGCTCTGCACTCAGGAATCACTCCTGGCAATGCTGGGGGGACCATATGGGATGCCGGGAATCGAACCCTGGTCGCGTGTAAGGCAAATGCCCTACCCGCTGTGCTATCGCTCCAGCCCCCAAACACTTTTCTTTTTGGCTCTCTTGTCCCAGCTGTTTTTGGTCTCTTCTGGCTGGATGACTCAGAGCTCGGGCTCATTGGTGTTGGGGGCGGGTGTGGGCAGTGCCAGGGCTCGGACTGAGGCCTGACCACACAAGGACTGTGCCCGGCCTGGCTCCCTCTTTCCCCGACCGCGTCTCAGGTGCACCGAGCAGTAGACAAGTCAGGGCGGTGCAGGCGGGAGCATTATCGTAGCCCTGGGCAGTGCTCCCGCCCCAAATGCCCGTGCTCGTCCAGTTGGGGGGGCGGGGGGTCCGGGCGGCTTCGGGGGCATGCAGTGTCGGCCTGACTGTGTTGGCTCCAAGCCGGAGAAGCCAGAAAGCTCAGCGGGTAGCGCTCCAGCCAAGCACGGCCCGACCCTGAGCTCGATCCCAAGACCCCCACCCTGCCTCCGCCCCGGGTTATAACTCGGGTGTGGTCCCGGTGCATTGTGGACCCTCTCCTGCAGGCAGCCCACGGCGCTGCCGGTGGCGCCCCTACAGCAGCCCCCAGAGGCCACGCCCCCGGCCCCCGAGGCGGCGGGGCTGCAGGCACTCGCGCAGGAGGAGCAGCGGCTGCTGGGGCTCCAGCGCGGGAAGCTGCAGCAGCTGCGAGAGAAGCTGCGGCAGGAGGAGGAGGAGGAGAGGCGGCAGCTGCGGCAGCAGCAGGAGAAGTCGCTCAGGTGCGCCCCCGTGTGGCCAGGCCGGGGCTGCAGGGCCCAGGGGTGTGCGGGAGAAACGGCTGGCTCAGGGGCCCCGTCTACACAGCACTTGATCCCCGATGCCCTTCTCGTCTTTTATTTTTGGTGGGGACTATGCGGGACCGGGAATCGAAGCCTGGGCTCCCACATGCAGAGCCTGTGCTGAGCCCTGGGCACCCCGGCCCTGGCGCCTGTTTCTCATGTCCCGGGAGTGAGGGTCTGTGAGACAGGTTGGGGGGGGGATTTGGGGGATTGAGGGGGGTGGGCGATGCAGACCACCCTGTGCACAGTGCCCCTGGCCCCCGGACGAGAAGTTTCCATCTCGGCTCCTGCCCTCAAGTGCTGCTCGGCTCTTGGGCTGGGCCTGTGTCCGTGAGTGTCCGCAGAGGCATCCACTTAGAGGTTGGTTGATCAGAGAAGGCCCAGGGCTGGCGGGGCCGCTCCCCAGGCCTGTGGAAAAGCGGGGTCTGGTGGGCCTGCGGGTCTACATATGCCGGGGAGGGGAGCAGGAAGGCTCAGGGGTTAGTGCAGAGCCGGGACTCCTGCTGGGAGGGAGCTGGGGATCACGTGGCCAGGGTCCATCGGTTGGGGAAGGGAGCAACTGGGCCAGGACGTGGCTGAGTCGGGGGGCCGAGGGTGGGGACAGGCTGTGCTTGGGGGGGTTCTGGGGTCCAGTGGCCTGGCCTCTGTTTCCTGGGGCCTAGGGCAGGTAGCGTGAGTGGCCCCGGCCAGGGGCAGCCTCGAGTGAGGGTTGTGCAGAGAGAGTTGCGGGGGTCCCCAGGAACCTTGTGTCCGCAGCTCCCTGAAGGAGCAGCTGCAGCGAGCGGCCCGGGAGGAGGAGGAGCGGCTGCGGGAGGAGGAAGGCCAGAGGCTGGCGCAGCTGCGGGCCCAGGTCCAGTCCAGCACGGCCGCGGACGAGAGGCAGCTCAGGTGCGAGTGTGCATGTGTGCATGCGGGTCGCGGCCCGGCCGCCCGGCTCCCCCTGCACCCAGCCCAGCCCCACCTTCCGTGTACCCCAGAGCCCAGCAGGAGGCGGCCCTGCAGCAGCTGCGGGAGGAGCTGGAGGCCCAGCGGGCCCGCCTGGAGCAGGGGCACCGGCAGGCGCTGGAGCAGCTGCAGGAGGAGCTGGAGGCGGCGGCGCGGCGCCAACGGGCCTCCCTGAGCGCCGAGAAGGAGCAGGCGCTGGGGCAGCTCCGGGAGCGGCTGGAAGGGGAGCGGAGAGAAGTGAGTGGCGCGGGGGTCCCCGGGGGTCCTGAGACAGGGCACCCTGCGTTTCGGCCCCGGGACGGAAGTCAGGGGTCTCTCCTGGGTCCACTTCTGACGGCCTGTCCGTGATGTCCAGTGGGCTTCTTGGGTGAGGCTGATGGGGCTGATGATGCTCATAGTCTGGGAGGAGGAGTGGCCACCAGTGGTCCAGAGGTAGTGACCATCCCTCTCGTCGTCGTGGCCCTGCCCATAGGCAGGGGTGTCGCCTGGAGGGGGCGGGACGAGAGTCAGCATTCTCTTGGACCCTTTTCTGGGTCAGGGCTGAGCTGGCGGGGTGGGGTGGGGTCTTCCTGGCTCCCCCTTGCCCCAGGGCAAGACCCCACCCCCGACACACACAGGGCCCTTGTCCCTGGTCAGGCAGCCGCAGCCCTGGAGAAGGCGCACCAGGCCGAGCTGCAGCAGCTGGCTGGCTCCTGGGAGTCTGAGCACCAGCAGGTGAGCTGTCGGGGTCCCAGGCATGACGGGCAGCTGGCCGCCGCCCAACTCCAGCCCTGCCCCGTTTGCCTCCCACAGCGGGGTGGGCGCTGGGTCCTCAGAAGGGCCGGCTCTCTGCAGGTGTGGCCTCCTCCGCAGGTGGCCCCAGGCCTCCAGAAGCCTTTGGAGGAAATGGAGCCAGGACAGGGGGGCCCGTGGCAGGAGAGCCTGGGGTGCGCCGAGCTGCTGGCCCGGCAGAAGGCTCAGCACGCACGCGAGTATGAGCACGAGGTGAGCGCGGCTGCAGAGCTGGGCATTGGGGGGAGGGGGGCTGCCTGCCTGCACCCGTGTGTGGGTGACCCCTGTGCTTCTGTCCCCTCCCGCCTGCCACCCGCCCCACAGCTCAGCGCCCTCCTGCAAGAGAAGCGGCAGGAAGTGGAACGGGAGCACGAGCGGAGGATGGACCGGCTGAAGCAGGAACACCAGCGGGCGCTGGCTGACGCCAGAGAGCAGTACGAGGCACAGGTGAGCCGGTGGCCTGTCCCCACGGGGCCATGGACGCTGTCGGGGGCTGTATCCCTCAGCCTTGAGGAAGCATCTGCAGAGGAGCGGTTCCTTCTGTAGGGGGGCAGCACCCATCCCGGTGGGCACTTGAGTCCTGCGCTCACTGTGATGCAGGACCAGGGCTCCCTGCAGCCGCCGGGCCACCCAGAGAGCAGGACTCCAAGCCCCAGTTGACCGGCTGCGTGCTTCTGACTTTGGGGCTGCTCCCAGCTTGGTGCTCGGTGGGACCATGAGGTGACCGGGGTGGAGCCCGGCCGTCTGCGTGCAAAGCCTGGCTCTGTGCCACAGGGATTGGGGGCAACTCCGGGGTGCCAGGAAAGAGACTGGCAACAGCCGAACGAGATTGATTTATTTATTTTGCTTTTTGGGTCACACCCGGCGCTGCTCAGGGGTTACTCCTGGCTCAAGCACTACTCAGGAATTACTCCTGGTGGTTCTCGGGGGACCCTATGGGATGCCTGGGAATCAAACCCAGGTTGGCCGTGTGCAAGGCAAACTCCCTCCCCGCTGTGCTATGGCTCCAGCCCTCAGCATTTATTTATTTATTTTTATTTTTTTTCTTCTTGGGTCACACCCGGCGATGCACAAGGGTTACTCCTGACTCTGAACTCAGGAATTACCCCTGGTGGTGCTCAGGGGACCATATGGGATGCTGGGAATCGAACCCGGGTCGTCCATGTGCAAGGCAAATGCCCTACCCGCTGTGCAATTGCTCCAGCCCCTTGGCATTTATTTTTTGTGGTGCTGGGGATGGCAGCCAGGGCCTCCCCTCCATGCTTAGCCCTCTCCCCGGCCTCTCTCGGCGTGGACACCCTCTGCCCAGTCGCAGCTTGATGGGGAGGTCACGTGTTCCTGAGGCACCACACGGGGCTGGGGGTGGGGTGGGAAACAGTGGGGGTGGCACATGCCCAGGCCACTGCTCTGGCCCCCGGAAAACTCTCCCATTCCATGATGGAATGTTGTCTCTTCCCAAACCACAGGTGGCCTCGCGGGGGTGGGGGGAGCGTGGTGACTGTCTGTGGCCCGCTCTATGGGTGGATGGGGGGGACCACGTGATGGGGGGCAGTGGGAGTGCCTTCCTGCGAGCCGGCCTCCCTGCAGGAGAGGAAGCAGAGGACGGAGCTCCTGGGCCACCTCACGGGGGAGCTGGACCGGCTGCACCGCGCCCACGAGCGGGAGCTGGATCTGGTGCGGCGGGAGCAGGAGCGGCTGCTGGAGGACACGCGGCGCAGCTGCCGGGAGCAGGTGGGGGGCAAGAACGGGGCTGAGGAAGGGGCCGGGGGACGCCGCAACCCAGGCCCATACCCCACCTCCACGTCTGCGCAGGAAAGGAAGCTCAAGGACCTCGAGGCGGAGCTCGAGAGCAGGTCCAAGGACGTCAAGGCCAGGCTGGCCGAGCTGGACATCCAGGTGAGGGTGGGAGTGAGCGCACGCGCGAGATGGGGTGGGGGGGGTCTTTCTTGCCCCCAGGGCGGGATCGATTTCTCTCCTGTGGAGCCTCAGATCTGGGCCTGTCCCGCAGGAGGCAGCGGCCCGGAGAGAGAAGCAGCAGTTCCTGAGCGCGCAGAGGCAGGCAGCGCTGGAGAGTGAGGTGTGGCTGCCCCCCACCCCACCAGTGCGGCCCGAGGGTGGAGCCCCGCCGCGGGGGTGGCCCCGGCTCCAGGGCTCCTGTCCTCTCCCCAGGAAGCCCACTCGGCCCACCAGCGCCTGGACGAGGCCCGGACGGAGCACGCCCACCTGCTGGAGTCCAGCCGGCAGCTGCGCCGCACCCTCGAGGAGCTCCGCGCCTGCAAGTTCGAGCTGGAGACCCAGGTGGACCTGCTGCGGGGTCAGAGCCAGAGGCTGCAGAAGCAAGTCAGGTGCGTGCCCGGCCCGCTGCGCCCCCGCCGGACCCCGGGCGGGTGCGCGCCTGCATGGCCCCCTGTGCCCCCCTCCCCCCATTCCAGGCGGGTGTGCGCCTGCACGACCCGCTGTGCCCCCCACCCGCCATGCGCGCTTGCAATGCCTGCTGCGCTCCCGGACCCCAGGTGGATGCGCGCCTGCACGGCCCACTGCGTCCCACCAGACCCCAGGCGGGGTACGCACTTGCAGGGCCCGATGTGCCCCGCCACCCAGACCCCGGGTGGGCGCCTGCACGGCCCACTGCGCCCCCTGGAACCCCGGTGGGTGAACACCTGTACGACGGGCTGCGCCCCTGGACCCCAGGCAGGTGTGCGCCTGCAGTGCCAGATGCGCCCCCCCACCCCACCCCACCCCACCCCAGGCAGGTGCGCGCCTGCACTGACTGCTGCGCCCCCGGACCCCAGGCGAATGCGTGCCTGCATGGCCCGATGCGCACCCCACAGACCTCAGGCGGGTGGGCGCCTACACGGCCCACTGTGTCCCCCAGACTCCAGGCGGATGCGTGCCTGCATGGCCCGCTGCGCCCCGTCCCTGAGTTCACAACCGTGGAGGGCTGGAGGTCCCGGTCGACCCCGTGGGACCCCGCCGGCCGCCCTCTCCCCGCAGCGACCTGGAGGCCGAAGTGCAGAGGAAGCAGGCGGCCCTGACGGAGCAGGCCACCCAGGAGGGCACCCCCGCGGCCCACTTTGAGCCCAGCCTCCGCCTGGAGGACCTGCGGAATTCCCTGGGCTTGGTGAGTCCCTGCGCCCGGGCACCCATACGCTGGGCACACGCGGCGGCTGGCAGGGGCGCCCGGCTCAGCGTATCGCCCACTTGTGTCCCTAGAACCAGAGCAAAGACGGCGCCTCCGCTCCCGACGAGGAACCGGGTCGGTCCCTGAACAGGTGAGCCGCCCTGGGAAAAGGAGAGGGCGGAGGAAGGGCCGTCGGGGATCCGAGGCGGCCCCTGACAGCCAGCTGCCCCCGCAGCGCCCAGCACTACCTCTCAGCCGAGGGCGAGGCGCTTCGCAACGCCAGGGAGTTCCTGGTACGCCAGAAGCGCTCCATGCGGCGCCGCCAGTCGGCCCTGAGGGCCGCACACCAGCGCTGGTGCCACGAGCCGACGAGCGTGCAGGACGCGGCCACCCACCTGCCGGGCAGCAAGGCCACTGGGGACACGGACCAGGTGCTGAAGGAGGTGAGGCCCCGCTGTCGGAGTGTCTGTGTCTCTGCACCCCAGCGTCTGCGGGTGTCGACATCGGTCAGGGCAGAAGCTTCGAGGAGGATGGGCTGAGTGAGCCGGCGGCTGGTGTCCAGGTGGCGGTGGGGTCCGGGAGATGCCGGTCCTGGCTCACCCGCTGCCTCCCAGCATCCTGCCTGAGGATGGGAGGAGACTGGCCCCAGGGCAGTGGGCAGGAGGCAGAGGGAAAGGCCACTTCCTCCCAGCAGCCCTCCAGAGGCAGCCAGGGGGGGACCCCCACGAAGAAGTCAGTGACCTTCGACCTCAGCGACACCGATGACTCGAGCACCGACACTTCCGAGTCCTCACGGGCTCAGCGTGAGTGGGGGAAGGGGCCTGGTGTGTGTGTGGGGGGCGCAGTGGGGAAGCCCCCAGTCCTGAGCAGGCGGGGCTCTGAGCTCTGCGCACTCACCCCGCACAGCGCCCCCGTCCCAGCGGTCCCCCCACCACCGATACCAGTCCCTGCACAGCGACCTCCAGCGCGTCAGCAGGCAGCTCAGCGGCATGCTGGGTCTGCTGGCCAGCCCGGACCCGCGGCCGCCCCTGCCACTGCTCACGGCCTCGCCCCTGCAGCCCGGCACCCCCAGGGCTACCTACCCCGCCCCGCTGTCCACCTCCTCGTCCACAGCCTCCACCCTGGCCTCCCAGTGGGCCTGGGCCCCGGGCCCCCCTCTTGCCTCTGTGACGCAGACCGTGGACGATTTCCTGGTGGAGAAGTGGCGCAAATACTTCCCCAGTAAGTCCCCCCGGGGAGTGGGGGGGGGTCCCCACCGCCAGAGGGCCGGGTGGGGGAGGGTCCTGCGAGGGTCCCAGACTGAAGGGCCGCAGGCCCTGCAGGCCCTGGACAGTTCTGACGTTACCCCGAGGGGGCGGCACTCGCCTGGGCCTGGAGTAGGTTTGCTGGCACCCCTGGGCTGGAGTACCCCGGCCTTCAGCGCCCTTGCCTGAAGCACCGCTACCCCCAAGTTCCCTGCCCCCAGCATCCCCTACTGCAGAGGGGCGGGAAAGGCAGGCAGTTCCCGGCCTACCTGCGGCGAGCCCAAGGGAAGGCGGGTCGGAGTTAGGGAAGGTCCTGCCCTGCTCCTGCCATCGGTCACCCCCTGCTGAGACCCCGAGCTGGGGGACCCACGCTGCCCTTCCCAGCTCTCTCCCTCTCTGCAGCTGGGGTCCCGTTCTTCAACTGCGGCTCCCCTCCGCTGAGCAACCGGCTGGGTTACGTGTCTGCCAGGTAAGCTTGTGCGGGCACGCGGGTACCCACTGCCTACGGCTGGGGTGCCCAGCCTGGAGAAAATCTGGCCGTGGGGTCCCCGGTGGGCAGGGCTTAGGGGCCCCCCAAGAAGCCTGTTTGCTTCCCACACTCCTGGTGCCCCCTGTCCACAGAGCATCTGGAGTGAGGCTGGGGTGGAGGTGGGGGTCACAGGAGCCCCTGACTGGTTTCCTGCAGTGGGCGGAGGTTTCAGGGGGTGAGCCCATTCCTGCTGGGAGCTTGCTGGCAGGATCAGGGGTGGAGCTCTGAGTAGCGGGAGACCCAGAGGGGGGCAGCAGGGTGTGCGGACTGGGGCCACAGCCCTGTTCCCTTCATCTCCCCCCCACCCCCAGCGAGCAGCTCCGCCTCCTGCAGCGACCCCACTCCCAAGTGCCCCCTGGGGTGGGCGGCAGCAGCAGCTTCGAGAGCTTGCTGGAGGCTAACCGGAAGTGGCTGCGGAGGTACAGGAATGACCCCAAGTCGTATCCTCCTGCGTCCGGCCCTGCTCCCTCAAGGGGGGGTGGTAAGAGGGAGGTACAGGGGGGAGGGGGAGGCCCCAGCCCCCCTGTTCCTGCTCCCTGCAGCTGCGGCCGTGCTGGGGGGTCCTGGGGGACGGAGGAGCTTCCCATGACCCGCTCTCCTTGACCTGACGTCCAGGCAGCTCTTCTCCATGCCCAAGCCCCCGGGCTCCGCGAGCCTCCTGCAGCTGGGCCTGGACCCGCAGAACAGACTGAACGTGCATTATTTCTGAGGCCCGGGGCCCGGCTCTCTCCTCCCTGGCTGGACAGGAGGCGCTGCTCTCTCTGGTGGCCACAGGACCTGGCTATCCTGGGTCTCAGTGCAGACACGGGGCGCCTGCAGGGGGAAGGGGTGGCATCAGCCGGTGGGGGGCGGGGATGCCCCTCCTGAAGATGCCGGGTCCCGACTCCAGTCCACGCAGGGCCCAGGCTCTCCTCACCGATACCTCAGCCTCGCAGGGAGTGAGGCCACGACCTTTTCTGTCCCACAACCCCCTGCCTTCTCTCTCAGGATCCGGCTCATCTGCAGAGCCCTGCCGGGGGGTGGGGTGTAGCCCCCCCTGCCCTCCTGGCCCAATTCTCAGGAAGCCACACACCACCCAAAGGACAGGGTGACCGGCGGGCCCCCCTCTGGCGCTCTTTCCCGCCCGCCTGGATCCCCTCCCGGCCTGGTGCCACGTGTGTCCACAGCTGTCTCCCTCACCAGAGCCACCTCTGAAGGGGGGCGGGTGCTGGGGGGTTGAGGGGCCCCAGGGCCGTCGCTACCTGCCCCTCTTGAAAGGTCTCTTTATTTTTCCGTCTGACATGTGGACCCCCCCCTTCTCTGCCCCATCCCTCCCCTCTCTCGTCCCGGGTCCAGAAAGAGCCAAGCATCTTTCTCGCCCCGGTGCCCGGCGGGTGCGGCTCCCACACAGGCCCCAGCCTCCTCGCCGCTGGCTCGGTCCACGGCTTTGCCAGCAGTGCCCACGCTGTGCTGTGTTTTCTACAGCCATTAAATCTCTGCAGGTCTGTTTTCTACGAGACACTCGTGTGTGTGTGTGTTGCGTGGGGGGTATGGACTATGCCTGTATTCGCATACATGTACCCCGAGATAAAGTGTCTGAGCTGATCATTTGTGACCAGGACCCCCAGCCAGCTGGAGTGGCTCTGAGCTGGCCAGTGAGGTGAATTTCCCCGCACATGGCCACAAAGGTGACCGTGGCTCTCGGGCTTCAGACAAACCCGCGTGAGCAGCGTCTACCCCACAGGCGGGAGAGGGGAGTCAGCTGTGGGCAAGGCCCCGCGACCCCCGGTGCCCAGTCACCCTCAGCCGCCGCCCTGTGCCTGTTATTTGGGAGGTGGTCCCAGCCCCCTGGCGTCACTGACATGTCCCGGTCATGGACCCCGTGAAGTGGCCGTGTGGGGGGAGGAAAAGGACAAGCCTTGGGGCTCCTGGGTTGACTTTCAGCTCTGACATCCCGCTGGGAGAAAGTGGGGACCTAGTGCGCCCTGCTGGGTGGGAGTCCCCGTTTGCTGGGCAGCCTGAGGCGTGGGGGGCGGGAGTGCTGGGGGTGCTCCCGTGGGTGGGGAGGCTGGAAATCCCCCCACTGGGCTGGGGGGGCACATAGCCCACCTGCAGCTTTGGGGGAATGGTAGGGGACTCATTCGTGCATCACAGAGGGTCCCTGCTCAGCCGTCTTGGGGTCTCTGGGCCCACGACTGTGCCTTGCTATCACCAGAAGCGGAAGCTGGTCTGCCTGCCCCCACCGCACCTTCTTAGGTGACACCCCCCCACACACCTGGGCTGACTCGGCGCTGACATCCCGTGTGGCCTTTAATGCTTCCCAGTGAGGCTGTCAAAGGGGGCCTCAATTTGCCGGGGTGCCCACTTGGAATGCATCGTCTCCCCATTGCCCCCCCCCCAAGGCTGCCCGGTTCTGGCTGTGCCCACTCCCAGGGGCTCCCCACGGTGGAACTCCCCTGCACCCTCACTTGGGCAGTGGACCAAGTCCCAGTTCCACCCACTCCCCCCCCCCCCCCCCCCACCCGGTGGAGCATCCCTCACCAGCCCCTGACAATGGAGCTTGGCTCCCTGTTGACCGTAACCAGCCCTCGCCTGCAGAGACTTGAGTGCCCACTAGGTGGAGTGCTGTCACTGACCGGGCAAGGGCAGAGTGTAGAAGAGGGGACCCTGTCCTTGGTGCGGCCACCCACAGAAGGGACCCGGGGCAGAGCCAGACCCGCGGAAACAACCCAGTCCTGAGAGATGAGACAGGAACTGTCAGATTCAGAACCGAATTCACCAGGAATTCCAGAAGACTCCTCAGACAGTCAGTGAGCAGTAAGAATGCGGAGACTCAGTGGAACCAGGGAAACAGCACATGAGCCAAACGGGAGTTCAAGAAGGAAGTAGAAGCCATTAGAAAACAAACAAACAAACAAAAAAAACCACCACAGTATAATTCTAGGGGCTGGAGAGAGCACAGTGGGTAAGGCACATCGCAGGTGGCTTCTGTCCCCAGCACCCCGTATGGCCCCCTAAGCATGAGTCAGGAGTCAGCCCTGAGCACCGCCAGGGAGTGGCCCTACACCTAATAATAGGAAAAATAATAATAGCTGAATTCTAGGGCTGGAAACGTAAGAACTGAAGAAACAGTAGCTTCCAGTGGCCAGGGGAGGGGCGCCCCATCCCGTGATCCTCCCAGCACAGTGCTCAGAAGACTATGCCTGCACTCAGCTCATCGTACTGTTTCTCAGTAACTTCCAGAGCAGATGCAGCCACTTGGAGGGAAGCATTGGGGACCTGGAGGGCAGGTGTGCGAGTGTCCAGACAGGGAGGGACAGATGCAGTGACACCAGCAACATCCCCACCATGGGAAGTACAGAGGGAGAGGGGCAGACTGATGAACGCAAGGCTGGGCTCAGTGTGGAGTGACGAGCCTGGTCCCGTCTCCAGCATTACTCCCCCCCCCCACTATAGCACCCAGGGGGTAGCCCTTGGGGTCCCCAAGCACTGCTGGGAGCAGCCCCCACCCCAAACAGTAACCAAGAAAAGTTGAACATTCTGTTATCAGTTTTGTTTTCCTGGGTCTGGGGTGGGGACTTAGGCCACACCCAGGGGGGCTCAAGAACTGACCCCAGTGGGCCACACACAAGGTAAGTGACTCCCTGGATCCCTTCCTGCCACCCATGCAAGGCAGGTGCCCTCCATGGAGCCACAACCCAGGCTGACAGCACACCCCAACTAGAAGAGGAAGGGAGATGCTCACAGGTAACTCCTGGCTCTGCACCCAGGAATCACTCCTGACAGTCCTTGTGGGACCGTATGGGATGCTGGATATTGAACCCAGGTCGGCTGCGTGCAAGGCAAATGCCCTCCCCACTGTACTATCACTCTGGACCCTCTATCTCTCTTTGGTTTTGTTTTTTGGGCCTCACCTGGCAGTGATTAGGGCCTACCCCTGGCTCTGTGCTCAGGGGATCCTATGGGGTACTAGGAATCAGCTCCATTTGCTATTTTTTTTTTTTTTGCCAACCCAACAGTGCTCAGGTCTTATACCTGGCTCTGTGCTTAGGTGTCACTCCTGGCAGTATTCAGGGGACCATAGAGGGTGCTGTACTATCTCTCTGACCTCCCCAAAACAGTACTTAATTGTATTTTTTTTTGTTTTATTTTGATTTGGGGCCATACCTGGCAGTGCCCAGGACTTCCTCCTGGCTCTGCACTCAAGGGTCACTGAGTGCAAATGGGATGCAGGGGATCCTGTGTAAGGCAAGCCCCCTGCCCGCTATACTATTGCTCTAGTCCCTATCAAATCATTTTTTCTGACCACAATGGTATGCAATTAGAAATCAAAAAGAAGTGGAAAATTTACAAATACATGAAAGTGAAACAATATTCTTTAAAATTTTCCATGGACCAACCAAAGAAGACATTAAAGGGGAAATAAAGTGTCCAGCCCCCAAAATAAGAACAATATACCCTAGGTAGTGGGGTGAGCAGAAGCATTCCAATGGCAAAGTCCATCATAAAAAATTCCTATGAGGAGCCATAGTAATAGTACAGTGGGGAGGGCGTTTGCCTTGCATGCAGCCAACCCGGGTTCGATCCCTGGCATCCCATATAGTCCCCTGAGCACTACCAGGAGTAATTCCTGAATGCAGAGCCAGAAGTAACTCCTGAGCATCCTGGCTGTGACCCCTCCAAAAAAAAATAATAAAGATATTATTTAAAAAATAAAAACTTATGTAAGAAGGTCCTAAGGAAATAACCTGACCCTATGCCTTAAGGAACTAGTAACAACCAAGTTCAGAGTCAGCAGAGGAAGGAACTAGTTTAAAAGTTAGAGCAGAAACAGGAAAACAACAGACAAACCAAACTTGAGTTGATTTTTAACTCAAACTCTAACAACACATTAATAACCTCTAAATCAGGGGCTTAATGGCACCAAGATGAGCTACAACATTTTTCACGACTTTCCTCTAAGAAAACATTTTTGGATCACTTTTAGTCAATTATTCATAACAAGCAATAATTGCTAGTTACTTAGCATCTGTCTTTGGGGCAGGCTTTGGTGGTGGTGGGAAAACTCAAAGGTGGTGTGAAGGTATAATGGTGGGATTGGTGTTGAAATATTGAATAAAATCAATTACTGTGAACAACTCTGAGAGAAAAAGAGTTGACTTTTGGAAAAATTCCAAACAGAATTGAATTGAGTTGTCAAGGGAAAAAGAGGACCTAAAATCAATACGATTTTTGCCAGAGTGATAGTACTCTTGCCTTGCACGCTGCCTACCTGGTTTCAATCCTTGGCATCCCATATGGTCCCCTGAGCACCTGGACTGATTTCTGAGTGCAGAGACAGGAGTAAGGCCTGAGCATTGCCAGGTCTGGCCCCAAAACAAACAAACAAAAAAAATGGGACAGGAGGGAAACACAAACTCTTACAAGGCCAGTTTTTGCCTGATCTCAAACTCAGGAAGTGATGGTACCAGAAAAGCAAAAAACACACCAATATCCCTGAGGAATGTAGAGGCAGGCTTTATTCTTAGTAAAATATTAGTGACCCAAATTTCATGGCACGTCCAAAGGACTGATCACTGAGGTCAGGTGGCACTTACTCCGGCATGCAAGGATGGTTCAACACATGCAAATTAATTGGGATATGTTACATTAAGAGAAGGAAATAAATGCATGTGGTGGCATGCATGTCTCATGTGCACCAGAATCTGGGCTTGATCCCCAACAAGAAGGAGGAAGATGAGGGTGAGGGGGAAGTGGGGAAGA